GACCGAATGGGTCAATGATCTCGGCTACCCTGATGGCTTCGTCTTCGTCATGGGCATGCTTAATGGCGCCTACTGCGTCGGCCCCCTTGATGCGGTCACTCACATGGCTGAGGAGATCCCCAACCCCGAGCGCAACGTCCCCATTGCCCTGATGCTCCAGGTCGTCATTGGCTTCATCACCGGTTTCAGCTACCTGGTCACCATCCTGTACGCCATCAACGACTACGACGCCCTCTTCGATTCGTCCTATCCAATCGCCGAGATCTATCGACAAGCCACTAGTTCGCGGTCCGGCGCAGCGGGCTTGCTGGCCATGATCATGATCTTGATTGGGCTCACGGTTGTCGGCCTGTACATCACCTGCGGGCGCACTCTCTGGTCGCTCGCCCGTGACGGTTAGTACAATTCCCAATACACTCACTTACCACCATGACGACACTAACATTCTTTTACAGGTGCCACCCCTTTCCCCAAAAGACTGTCCCATGTCAACGAGAAATTACAAGTCCCCGTCACCACGACCGTCATATCCGCCGTGCTTGTCACGATCCTCGGCGCCATTTACGTAGGCAGCACGACGGCTTTCAACGCCTTCGTCGGCACCTTCACCCTGCTTTCCAGCAGCTCTTACGTCGCCTGCATCCTCCCGCACCTCCTGACCGGCCGAAAGAACATCACATACGGGCCTTTCAGGCTGCCGGGTATCGTTGGCTTCATTGTCAACGGCATCTCCTGCGCATACCTGATTGTTTGGCCAATCATGTACACTTTCCCCTTCTCTCTCCCTACCAGCGCCCAGAGCATGAACTACGCCAGTCTCATTTGGGGCGGCTTGACCATCTTCGTCGCCTTGTTTTGGTTCTTCAAGGCCAGGAAGGGATACGAGGGTCCCATCAAGAACGGGGGAGCCCTCCATGGGATTGAGTTTGGTGGTTGATCGCCACCTCCTGATTTAGACTCTATATATTTTTCAACCTTTCTTAACTTATGTATATGCTCCGTTGTGTGGTATGAGACAGATCTCATCATAAATGCAATTAGTGTTCAGCAAATTCCCATTCCGTTGCCGCTACGGCTGACTGAATCCGCAGTTGCCTTCCTCTTACCCCCTGTTTGGACAACGTCTAGTTGGCAAGAATCATCTCCGTAACAAGAGTCTTGTTCCGTAATCGTACTATTATCACGTAGGAGATTAGGGAGCCACTGCTTCCTTTCAGGTCTTAAAAAGTTTGCTCCGTAGCAGAGCCACCCGCTACCTCATGTTACTTTCCATTTCGCCAGGGATGGTTCCACAAAACTTAAAGAGAAGGTGCGAAGAGGGTTCATGATTAGATAACTTCAATTGATCAAACTCTCTCTCTAGCCGAAATTACAAACACCCATGCATCGAACCCTTGCAACAAAACTACAAAGAAAAGACTTGGTGAGGGGCAATCCCCTCGCACATCCTCTTGATTGGTGGCAACCAGAATCGAGGATTCTCCCATTCGTCTTTAAAACCAACTGCACACCCCTCTGGCTCTGCCAGAATCTGACTATGGTATGTTCTCTCCTTCTCCGTCAAAAGCTCCATTAGGTCCTCGAACTGAGAGCACGTCAGCTTCTGATTCAGCCGAAAGATGATGCTATTCAAGCTTCGTTGAATTTCCGATGCTTCTTCGTTGATGCCCTTGACAAGCTCCACAGCGCCCGAATTTTCCCCTCTCCGACGCTTCATGTCTTTGAGAATCCAAACCGTCCCTCGCACGAGAGCATCCACGACGACGTACGCTGTGTGAAGCTGGAAAGCACCGCAAGTTGGGGACAGAAGCTCGAAGGCCTCGCTTGATCGGAAGAGGTCATTGAGGAGTTTCTCAAGCTTTCTCGACAACATGATATCGATTTGGGCCGTTATCAGACGAGGCAATGGGACCTTCCCGGGCATCGTACAAGCATCCTCTGGAACTGGCGCGATCCCAAGCTTGTTGCCTCCGACAATGTTTGCCGACCCTGTCTTCAGCCCTGTGGGATGTACATTAGCGCTACCCTGGAGTGCATATGCAACACACGCCGCACGCATACATACATCTGCAGTACTCGAGTTGGATCAATTGGCTAATCATCTCCTGTGCGTTGGACTAAAAAAGTAAGCGTGAGAAGCACTTCTGTTTGGTGATGTTGATTGGCGGGCGTTCAACCTACATTGACAGGAATAAGACGAAGCAGCTCGCAATACACCTCCTTTCGTTCCGACACTTCCGGCAAATTACACGACGACGCCCATTCGATTGCATCACTAGGCAATTGCGCGTCCATGTGTGCCCAGAAGGCCTCTGGGTCGGACACGGCATACGGTGGCAAGTCTACCCATACTGGCGTTCCCGATGCTGGAGTATAGAATCGACCTCGCGAGTCTCCATCTTGCCAGCATGCAAGGCGAACGGCGACCTGATACGACTTGAAGCCAGTGGAAAACTGAATCTCTTGCACGTCTTCATTCTGCCAATCGAGGATTACCGGAATACTCTCGTCGTTCCATCTCTTGGTTAGATTCAGGCTTCCAACCCGGTGGAAGACGTACTTCATTGTATATATAGACTACCGTCGCACCGATATGGGTCGTGAATATGCAACAGGCGATGCTTCGGGACTGGGATGATTTAGGCTTCCGGGGTACAGTTGGTCGTACTCTGACAGGGAGGTGACATTCGTTTCCGGTGCGTTGGGATGCACCTGCAGTAGCCCGAGTCGAAGGTTCAATCTGGGTCCGAATCACCGGCGTCCAACGACAACTGAACACGCAACGAAACCAAAAAAAGACCCGTTGTTCGCCACAAGATAAGGAGGGGAAATCGAATGGAGAGAATGAGGGGTTCTTGATGACCTGCTTTGCAAGTTGTGTGTGGCGGTCACGGCCTTGGCTATTAATAGCCTAGAGCCAACAGACAAACTCAAAGGGCGGAGAGTTGGGACGTGCATCTCTTCGTCATTCAGCGACTGACGCATTGTCGATGGGCAAACTACCTCGGGAACAAGCTGATGATGGTTACAGAAATGCCTTGAAAGTCTGTTGCGGTCTACGCTAGCACGTCCAAGACCAAGGCTCCCCATACGGCTTACTCCCGATGGTGAGAAAGAGAGATAATATATGACGCATGATCTGGGTCCAAGGAGACGGTCTGGCTCACAAAAGGGATAAACTACGAATGGATGGAGTGGCGTGTTCGGGATGACCACCGTTGCGCCCTTCCCGCCATTGTCATAAGGCTGAGAGTCATTGTCTAAACTACCTGTCTTGGCAGACTGGTTTGGTCATTGAGTCCGGTGATGCTGGGGAAACGGCGGTGAGTGCAACCACAGCCTGGGGCCAAGGCTGATTGGGGAACCCACTTCTGATTCCAAGAGTCAACGATGACTGACCGGGGGGGCCTGGACTGTTGGGCATTCCCAAGTTGCTAATCGACGGAGCGGCCGCAATTGATGACCTCGAGAAATGTGGACCCCTTCAAATTGGCTCTCTGTTCGCCGGATGACACGACTGATTCAGCTTCGGCTCATCACCTGGCACAGAGGCCTTTCATGGAGACAAGGGTCTTTGGGTTGCCTTCGCCGAAGACCTCTGACTGGGGTTGGTGTTGGTGGCAACTACCTGGTTCAATAGCTCAGAGTCTATTACCCCACCTCGAGGAATTGAAACCGGCGATTTTGGTGTCTTTTTGCAAGCTGTATCTTAGCCAAATCCGCCGAGCCGAGGTGAGCATCATCGATAACAGATGTCTTTGTGAACAAACTCGGAAACTGAAAGAGCTGGAAGAGGGACTCGAGAAGTTTTCAACGCAGCTCTACGAAGTTGAGTGACTTACAAGAAGAGGCTCAAGTGTGCACCAGTCTGGCTCTTCCCTACCCGGAATAGAGTTGATGCCGTACGATAAACACTCAATTCAGACATGGGCGATTGCACTGGGGTTGTTTGCTAGAGAGGGTTTTGAGATTGTTTCGCCATCGTTTCACCAAATACGGTATGATTCCACTGACCCCAATCCCAGGTTGTTGGCCCCGAGGAGAGGCCTACCGTTGGTTGGAACTTTTGTAGGCCCTATATCAGTAAGCGAGAACAATAAGAGGGATTTGTTTATTCGATGCTAGTGGCTTTTAATTTACCCGGTTCGTTAGTCTTTCATCATCAATAAAGGTGAAAAAATGAGCGGGATTTCCACGATTAGCAAACATATTTGATCCTGGCAGGCTTGATACTCTTTGTCGATATGTGTATGGCAAGTACGTCTTACGCACACCCACCCGCAACCTAGGTACTGTTTCTCATTGACTTTGGAAAATTTTGTGTAGTTAAGACTTGTTGTATGCTAGTAAATGTTTAGAATGTGTCCTCACTGCGAGCTCTGACACGGGATATTTGTGAATGCAGTCTGGTTGTTAGACGAAGGTTGTCGTGACATCGAGGGAACCTCTAGAATCAAAGTGTACAAGTCGATCCATACAACAGGGTATCGATGCTGATAAGGCGTTCCTGTGGCCTAGCCAATGTTGATAACAATCGGATTCTTGAGGACAACTCCTTCGGTATAACTCTCTACAATGGCTTGGCCATAACATCGACTTTCTCAAAGGGCATAAACTGAATATGGGACCCAAGGCACCAGAGACATGCCCATTAAAGTTAATATTGGATAGGTAATCACTTCACATTGCAGGCACGAATAAATGACTGAAAGAAATGTCACATAGAGGAAAGTTGATTGTGACCTATCTGACTTGTAGTGAAGCAAACCCCTTTGTCTGATAAGCAGAGAACGAATTGTGGGGGAATAGAAGAGAACAATGCTGGATAGTCAAAACAAAATAGCTACCAGAAGAACTATTATCATAACTGCATGTGGAATATCCTAGTTCAGTTGGGGCCAAGAAAGGGGGAAACAAAGAAATGCCACCCCAAACCAAGGTCCAGCGATGAGGACTAGAACCATTGCCAGCAAGTTGACCATCCTCTTGAGTGACAGACATCAGGCTACCCGCTCTCCAAGTTCTTTTTGGAGCCTCTGGGTCCACTCGCGAATAGGTGCGCCTTTGGTGAGCTCAACGTAGAATGGGCGGAGGGACTGCGGGAGTCGCTTCGCGATGACGTATCCGTCCTCCTCGACATACATCCTGAGCCAGGCAAGCCTGGTCATGAAAGCGGCGCTACTAGGTCCTCCGGCATAACGTGCGTACAGGCGTAGGTAGGCCTCGGCGAGGATGTGGGCGGGGACTGTGAGGACGGGGATCAGCGGGTTTTTGAAGCAGCCAGAGCCGCGCTTTGGCCTCTGCGGTGGGAGCTCCGACCGGTCGGAGGCGAGGATGAGGTAAGAGGGCAGGTCAGCCTTGTGAGGCGCCACAAGTTTGGCGCTCATTGCTGGGAGGAACCAGAGTGCCTGTGACTGAGACAGGATGGCGACCGTTTCCTTCCTTTCTCGGATATGAAAGTGGCGGCCCGGCGTGGGAGTGGTACGAGTCGGGTTGGCTAGAGGGCAGGTAATGCTGGACGGGCATGGCATCAAGGGCCTACGAGACGCAATGGCTGCCGCGGCGGCGGATACTCGACCATCGGGAACTACAAACTCGATCGACTTTCGTCGGGTTAGTGGATTGTGCCGCGACAATTGAGGTGACTGAAGGGATGTATTTACACCAATAATTGTAGGGACTCCGTGGGCTCGAAGGAGACGGTTTCCCCAAAGAATACATGGGATCTGTACCGCGTTTATGTTCTTAACCAGGGAGGAAACAAAGCGCTCGCTGATGTGGTTGGGATCCGCAGGCTTGGCTTGCTTGGCGTGCGAGGACATGACGGCCGATGTTTGGGATGGCGATTCAGTGATTAGATTCGAGGCATAAGATGCAAAAAACAAAAAAAGCAGGGGAAGATTTTGGGGGAAGGGAGGAGGACATGCCAGCTGCTTCAGGTCGAAATCTTGGACTTGGGCTGGGCTCGGCCGAATACAAAGTCATTTAGTAGAGAAACATGGTCCAATTGCTGGAGAACGCTTTCAAAGTGGTACCGGGCTGTGAGTGTGAAACCTGCGATTAAATTCATGCAAGTCTGCGTTTCCAAGCCGAGTACAAGAGAGGGAGTGTGCCTCGAGCTCGAGGGTGGTTACGCACGTTGCTCTGACTGATATGGTGGGGACCACGCAGCAGGTGTGCATTACTGATCGTCACAGCGCGTATGTGGGGGCTGGGGGTGCCTGAGGACTGATTTAGGGGTCAGCGTTAGCATCCTAACAGCCTAACTTACAGCACAGTTTGTGCTCTGACCGTTGGCAAGCTTTGAACCCAATTCAGTTACTGACCAATCCCACCGCACACTCAGGGCTGAACACGTACTGATTTACGGCCACCTCTTCTTGTAGCACTAAGTAGCTAGGTAAGGTACCTAAGAGTGATGGAGAATAAAGTGCAAATAGATGATTACACTGTAGGGCTGCACTGTGCAGAGAACTGTTCCATGGCTTGTGACCACCAGCGTGACAACAAACAGTATGCCTACATCAAATGGGTCTCACTTCTGCCTTCTCCTCCTGTCGATCTCGTCTGGCTATTCTCTGACTTTACCTCTTTGTCCGTGAGTTTTTAGTGCTCCAAAACAGCTATTCACGCAATAATATGTGTGGCACCTACTCATCGACTGAACTTTTGTCTACACACAATCACTCAACCATCAATACAACCTAGCTTTGAAAGAAGCATGTTGAGGTGGTCGGTCTTGACTATGAGATTTGTTGCAGATTGTGCGGTAGACCTCTTCACCACTATGACTGGCACTCCAGCAGCGGTGTCCCGAAGCCAGATCTCAGTTGGTTAACTGAGAATACTTTTGTCATTGGAGATAATCTGTAGAGCGCCGCAAAATCCAAGGAAGTTTCCTGTCACCTAGACCTTTCGGTGCTGTTTGTAAGTCCACTACTAGAATATGGATTTTTGAGTCTGCAAGGATATACGTCCTGGGAAAGATGGAATGATCTCTTGACAACAGCAAGGATCTGGCCATGTGAGGTATGGCAGACATTGCGAATTTTATGACTTGAGTAGCTACCATCCGTCACCTCGTGGAAAACAGCTCACTCATGATGGAGTTTGGAAACCTGAGAACTATCTGCTTGGATTTCAGGTCACATGTGGTAACCACTCAAGCCGAAACATCGGCCCGTGCCTCGAAAATCCGGAAGCCATCTAGATGGACGGACGAGGTGGAGAGCGAGTTGTCAAGTTCGAGATCTTCGGGGATGATCGCCCGTGTGCATTGCGTATGACCATGAACAAGAAGTGCCGGTCTGTTGCTAACATGAATGGCTACTAATCGGAGGAGCTCTAGGCGAAGGATGAGATGGGCTCAAGTTGGATATGTGTAGCATCTTGGTGAGTTGGATAGACTCGAGTTTGGCTATGATAGGTGCCATTGGTTCGACCTCGATGCAACCCTCGAACGAAGAGAGTGCTACTAGCCAAGCTCTACTTGCCGAGTCAAGAAGCGAGCATCTCCGAGTAAAAGAGATCATACAAAACCTCTGCCCTCCGCTGCTAGGAAACCTCTTCCTTGACATAGACCATAGAGTAGCTTGGGGGGGGGGAGCATTCCTAAGATCTTAATCCCCCTCCTCCCCCAGAAAGTCTTCCGATCCCTCCACCTTCTCGTCCTCATAGAAAGAGAAATATTTGCCCTTGCCATCCTCCTCAACTCCCTTGTCCAACAGGAGTTCACATGCATCCTTTATGGTGGCCGCATTTCCCCAATCAGCCTTTATCCTTCTCACTCAGTCTGTTACTCACATGCGCCAATCGAAAGGAAAAGGACGAAAAAAAAAGGACGAGAAAAGGGGAAGTGAATCACTAGCATATCCGGGTGTAGGGACAATTGACAGCCTTTGTTTGGATTTTTTTTTCGACCTGGAGATAGGCATTACGGATTGTGCGGCTTTCCTGTAATGTGACGAGATATTGGTGGGGATGCATCGGTGATTGACTGGTTTTATATTGCCTGTTACTTGGCCATATAATGAACAGAACACGGGACTTATGGAAAGACCAGAACGCACGAGCTATACTGAAGTGCGATAAGAAATATATCTGACGACATCCCATCGTGGCGACTTTGCGAACGTGTATTCAATTGCAATGTGGCTTTGCCCTGGTGGAGAGGATATCTGGTGCCCAGCTCAGTGATGCCGACCGTCGGCAAGGCTTTCAATCACAATGGTCGAGCGCGAAAAAAAAAAAAAAAAAGGACGAGCGTAGCAACATGCAAGTGGACTCTTTTATTACCTAGGTATTGATAGAGAAATAATATTGCAATGATTGCCGACATCGACCAGTCTGTCCATCTTGCAGCCTTGCAAAAGTGGTTTGGGCAACCGGAGGTTGAATGTTCCATGTTGCTTGGGCATCTGAAGCTTGCCACAGTGGGAGTCGACATACCGTGGCCGCCTACACATTCCCTACACATTCCCTTTGCATTCCAGTGGACGGATGTCTGCAAAGGGAAGGAGGACCGAGGATGTGAGGGTTAATGCGATTACGGATGATTGATTTCCATCATTTCATTGCTGAGTCGCTATAAGCCAGTGCTGTGCGCGCTCAGCTCTAGGTATGTAGCTCCCAGCGAGGCTGTTGTAGCGTCCTTAGTGCCTACAACCCTCACTGTAGCACGCAATTTTTGGGAGGGCACGTGCTGAAAAAATACAGGTAACAGTGAGTTGTCCAGCTGTGACGTGCAGATTCCACGCCTCAGCACCGGGCAGTTGTCCATCTGGCGATAGTTGCGGCGTCGAGCGACCGGCTGTCGAGGCACCCTCGTTCGTTTTCTTGACTAGGTGGCGATACGGTGAGGAGAAGCACTACACCCCCTAAAGAAAATGACCCTTATGCGGCGGCCAGACAATTCATCTTCGCTTGAATCCTACTGGAAGGCCCATCTCGCCTCGCCATTTCTCTCTTCAATTCCCCCCTTTGTGATATGTTTGCGGATGCAATGCATGACTGCCGGGCATACAGAATAGTTAGTGACCACTATGACGGGTTGTATTGGGATGGACTCTACGCCCAAGCAGGTCTGCGCGCTGGAGACGGATCTATTGCGCTGTAGGAACACGCTGGGGGAAGGACCTCAGGGAGGATTGGGTGCGCAGCTACAGGCACTTGAGCACCTGCCACAGCGGGCACGGCATGATGGCTCTAGGGCCGTGCACGATCGCCATTGATAGCAATCGTGATCTAGCACGATGAGATGGATCAAATGAACAAGAGAGACTATATTTAGGACTAGGTAAGGACAGACTAGGTAAGGGGAGACCAATGTAGATAAGGATAGAGGAAGTAAGGAGAGACGAGGTCAAGACAGACTAGGTGAGGACAGACTAATGTCGTAGGTAAGGACAGACGGGGTAAGGACAGACTACAGACCAGATTCAATTTCATGAAATGTCAAACCAGCAACTTTGCAACAATCTTTGCCACCACCATGGCGAGGCCAATGACCCTTGTTGCCTTGGTGGATGGGCTCAAGTTAGGCAAGGGCCGCGCCTGGCCAGCGCCGACTCGGACAACGAGTCATCCCCTCTGTCCAATCTGGCACGGACATCCTCCAGCCAGACCCAGTGTTCAATGAAATTGCGATTGGTCGCCGCCCAGAAGATGTACGGTGCCTGGACGAGCGGAAACCACAGCGGCGACTGCATTATCTGATTCACCGCGACCGCAAACATGTAGAACCTCCTGGCCGTCACGGACTCCAATTCGGACGAGGTCATCCGGGGCGGGTACTCGACTAGCTTGTAGGCTCGCGGGATCTCAGGGTCAGCGTGGGCGTAGACCAAGCGCACAAGCGGGAGGCTCTGCTGGCTCGTGAAGCGCAAAAAGCGCTGCCAATTCTTGTACACAGTGTGCCTCACCATCTCTATCTCCTGGGTGACGAGGTCCCTGAAGGCTGCGACGAGCTCGGCCTCCAGGATCGCCGCGCCGCGCTCCTTGAGAAAGCAGTGGTTGCACAACACCTCGTCCTTGAGCAGTAGGCGTACTCCTATGTCGCGCCTAGTCCGGCTGAGGATGTCGCTGTCGTACGCCTGGGTTGGTGGTACATATAGCATGTCTGGCTTAGTGAAGCGAAACGCCCGCTGCTCCTGCCATGTGTGGCACTCGGGGCATCGTATGAGGTACAGTGGCCACTGCAGGTCAGGCCACTCTCGCGCGTTGAGCATACCGCGCACATGCTCACCCTGAGGTCCTGTGTACTCAGGCCACGGAGTCGGCTCCTGCGAGCGCCAGGTGGCAACCTCTGGGAAGAAACGGACCAGAGGAGTTTTGAAGTGCATTGATATGCTCCGAACAATGGGAGGGTATGGAGCGATGCCGCATGCATGTGCCCTGCTGGAATCATGGACCAGCTGGAGCTGGCACTCGATGCAGGTGCGGAACCTCCTCCTATTGCCGCGAAGCTCGGTGTCCAGCTTGTAGAACTCATCTAGGATCCGTAGGCACACTCGTAGCTGCTTCTCGAAATACATAGGCTGCTGGGCTAAAGCAGTCACCTCTGGGATGCCGAGGGCCTGAGCTTCTGCCAGCCCCAATTTGAGGCGTTCGGGATGGACTTCTTCTCCGGGGTGGCTTGCAAGGATATTGCGCATATCAAAAACCTTAATAGCCTCGTAGATTCGGTGTTTTCTCTGCTCCTCTGGCTCCATACAGGGTGGTGCATCCATTGCAGCCTCCGTTCTCATTGACGCTGGCACCCACGGGCTGGGCTCTGCAGCAGGATAGCCGGTGTTCGGTTTTCGGTAACTCAGGCTTGTCAGTGACTCGTTGTCAAACCAAACATGGCTACGCAAGCGGGAACATTTTGTGCATGCCCAACGGTGAGATTCCATCTCGGAGTCCGAAAATTGCTCCAGACGGATGCCGTCTCTGAACCAGTCTACACGTACTGGCATACTGCCTCCGTACATTGGTGAGAGCTCCAAATCCAGAATAAGGTTGCGCAAGTCTCCCTCTCCTGCATCGATCGTATCTCGGAGAGTTCTGTTGGTTTCCGAAATGGCAATATTGCCGACAGGGTCCACCTCGAGGGATGTTTTCTCCTGCAATTCAGTGACTTGAGGAGAGAGACGTTCATCGGACCCGAACAAGTTCTCACCAGCATCCATTGTGATGTTTCGAGCAACACAAGCTCGGTCACAGGAAACTGAAGATTACTGGAGTACACGTGGATGGAGTGATACCGGAATTTGTAGACAGAAGAGAACAGTGCCCGCAAGCGACCGAGAATGAGTGAAAGCGGAGAGGTGGTAGGACATCCAACAGGGAGGGACTGGCCAGGTATTCGTCGGGCGTAGCCAATTCCCCCTTCCTCCCGGAAGATTACTGATTGGTCAACGTTCCGTGAGACATAGGCTGCATCGTTGCATATGGAGGCTTGCGGCGAGGGTTCAGCTCGGCGTGGAACTGTGCGATCATTTGCACTTTCAGGCTCCCGGACGGGCTATTGGTGTGCGTGTCGTATAACTGATTGGTTATTAGGCACACCCGCCCGCCCTCGGATAACTACTTCTGATACATATGAGTAGGTATGTCGCAAAAAGAAAAAGAAAGGAAAAGAAATGACTGGTGGCAGATCCTACGGGAGGAGGGGGCTGGGCTCTAGTCAAGCCACTTACATCGCCATTATGCCGCCTTGCAGCCGAAGAAAAGAAAAGTTGATCAGCAGACAGCTGCTGACCGGCTGTCTGGCCCGTTCGAGAGATCACGACATGGCTACGGGAGCTCCATCCGACGATGTGATCAGGAAGATTCAAAGACACACACCCTTGGCACTAGCACCTTGTAACAATGGTAACACGCTTGAATACACACCCAAGTACTTGGGTGGTACTTGAGGCGCCGAGACCTGGTACACCCTGGTTCTGTGCAAGCCACCATGAATGGCCCAACCGGCGATGAGGCCAATCAGTCGCCCTTGGGTCATGTGTTCTCATGGCGAGCTTGTGTGCGGCAGTTGGGAGAAGCAGTATCCAGGATTGATGCTTGGATGCCTGCTGCGAGTCCTGGGGATATGGGCGGAGGACATGAGCGGAGGGGAGGGGTGTCAACGTGAAGCAAGGAACAGCTATTGGTATTCGGCGATCCAGCGGGCTGTTGTGCATCTTTGGGCACCCGCCGGCGGTTTAGATGCATAATTCATAAATTCTATTCGGGGTATAATCGAGACCTGTCTGATGCATTGGAGGAACAAGGCCATGGGAAGAAGGTGTGCTCGTCTTGGGGCCGTGTACTGGTACGATTGGCACGCAAAGGGAGGGGGAATGCGGCGCTTTCTCAATGTGACTGCAAAGGCACCTCTGATGCAAGAAGCGACAGCGACATCTGAGAAATGCCGAGAAGCTCCTGGATGGCCAACTGCGCCGGAGGATGGGCCTTCTTCGTATCAAGGCAGCTCAGCTCTGCTCGGGTATGGGAGAGAATCTTCCCAATAACCAACGGAAATTTCTCGGAGTGGGCGCCACCCGCCCCACGGTCGTCGCTGTTCTAGATAGAATGCGTCTCGGATAGGTCACTGATTACTTGGAGGGGAACGAGATAGACAATTAAATCCATGTGCTCACTGTAATCTGTCGCCACGCGTCCGGTTCTTGAGACATCACTGGACATCCAAGAATGGGTTGGGAGCCGCCATGTCTCCAGCTACCCGGAATGCTGTGGCGATGGATATTTGCCTGGTATTCTTGATCCAGCGTTAGGGCATGCTATTCATTGCGGCCGTTCCGTCTTTGTGAATAGTTTCTCTGGATTCATCTAGAGTCAATACGCAAAGTGCTCAGGTAAGGGCTTTCAAGAGTTGTCAATAGTTGGACAAAGTATGAAGTCTGGCAGACGCCGTGGGAAAAAACAATAAACAACGTCCTGTCATTTAGGTTCGTGACATGCGCGAGAAGGATTCCTCCGTCCGCCTTTAGAACAGGATATTCAGGCATAGGCTTCAAATGTTAGACTTCTGATGAGCTCATCATTGGCCATAATGTCGCCTCAGTAGGCGCCAGAACCGTGTACTGACTGCCGATGTCTGCGACTGGAAAATTATTGTCCTCGTTTCGATCCAATCTCTCTCGCCCGCTCGCCCGCGGCATCCAGCGCACCGATGAACAGGCTGTGCGCGCTCTATGTCGTTCCAATTCCACGAGGCTCTTGGTCGTGCTCCCTCCGGGGGGGGGGACACCTGCTCACGAATGTTGGGCGGCGAGCTGCCATGCTTGAGCAGTGGTAAAAGGCCCCGTCATTGACAATTCCTCCGAGCGTTCGATCCTCATGCCACGCTGACATCTAGAAGACTAACGATTGCGATCGTGAGTATGGCCCCAGAGCATCCAGCCAGGGATCCGATGAGGTCGAACTGAGCCTCCGGAATCTCTCGCCTCTTCCCGACATGATCCAGAACCCACTTGGTCGCATTCATAGCCCGCTGGCTTGACTCGTAGGTGGAAGCAGCCATAGTCGTCATTGACGCGCCCTCTCTAGCTACGAGGTTGGGCATAGTCATCTCCAATGTGATACCTGAATGCTCCTCTGCATCTCCCAACACCTCTTCTCCCGCTACCGCTCTGAGCGTAGCCTGTGCGCTCTTCCCGGGCAGCGCACTGATCAGAATCTTGCCCTCTATCATTTGCCATGACCCCAGAGCCTCGAGAATGGCGGCCATAGGTGTGTGCTTGGTTCACAGAATAACCCTGGAGGAATATCCACTCGCCGTGATGTTGCCCACGCTTTGACAAATGGTTATGAACGATCTGTGCTGCGCAAATTGCTCTGTTGATTGTGTAGCCGACGCTGCCGACTTCACAGATACGAAGACATGCTTGATGTCCCACTCCGAGGCCTCAGATTGTGCCTCGCTCCTCTGCTCTCGGCGATGCCTGACAAGATGGCGTTGCCCATCTGGCCGTAGCCGGGGGTGCATAAGTTGAAACGCTTCGGGGTCGGCATGTTGAGGGAGTAAACTCGTTCTTTTGCGGTTCTGTTTTCCTTTGGTTTTGTTTTCGCCCGCAGGAGAGGATCCAATTAGGTAGCAAGAGAGGGGGAGGGCGAGGAGCCGAGGGATTTGGCACCGACTTGTGATTTCTTTGAGTTATTTTTTTGAGCTGGAATCAACCAACCGTGTGGTTTGAATACCATTGCTAGCGCGTCCTCATCTGGTTACCCCCAAATGGAAGGTAGCCCTGAAGAAAGCAGGGGGCTTCTCCTGGCTCCTTCTATGCGTTCATGCATCGCGTACTTGCCGCCGTGATAAACTGAAGACGCCATCGTTGTGGGTTGGGGAGGCGCGCACAGGGACGTCTTGGAGGTCGACCAACCCAAACACCAACCCAGGGCCGAATCTGAATATGCTTTTCTCGGTTGGAACGTCATGGCATTTATAGGTTGGCGGTGAAGGACTAGATGACTCTGGATAGTATTGGTGTTGATGAATTATCACTTTTGCTTCGTGCCTCTCTTCTTCCGCCAGACATCGGCATATTGTATCACGTTGACCAAACGATCTGTTTGTTCCAGGATCTTACACAGTTGGTACTGGGAATACCGCGCATGTTCCACTGGCTATCAATCTTTCTGCTTCTCTTTTTTGCCCGAGTACGCATTTGAACTTAATTGAAACTATTGGTGAGTAAAGTATCGCCTGCAAGAATGAGGGCGAGTGTGTTAGAAAACCAGACAATCAGAATAACTCCTTGTCTGCAACAGCCCCCTATAATTACAGGCGGCTTATAGGTGATTAGGGGATCTTCAATGCGCGAGTAGCCAACTTCTATAGTGGGTAAAGGCAGCTGTGCTGAAGCAAATGCCTAGCAGATCCGTGCTAAAACAATTCTACCACGCTGTAAGAAGGCCTTCAGCTGTGGCCTCCAGCGCACATACAGCGAGAGATAACCACAGCCATCCAACACTGCCGCTCAAACTACCCACGAAACTCTCCCCTTCCATCGCGGCTCATTTGGAAGTGAGACCATGATGGCCACCCGATGTGCAGAATTCCTTCCTTGGAATGATTACTTTCCCGAACTAGTGATTATCTAACCAAGCCCGATTCCAAGTTATCCCAATCTTTCAAAGGAGCCGTTGCCACAAAAACCAAACTGAATGGTAGAACGCTCCCGGGGGGCACGCATGCCGAAAGAAGTCGATGGACATACCTCTGTTCGTCACTTACGCATCGCATCAAACCCTATAACGGAGGTCCATTAGAAAGTAGCTAACTTTTCTTTTTCGTCCCTAGCTACCCATGGCAGGGAATTCTCCCACATTATTCGCTCGAGGATGAGAATGCCCGGTGATATCCCACCCCTAACCACGCTTGTCCGATGTTCTAGAATTCAACGCCAGTACAGAGCTCTTGGAAAGGGCTGCCTTTGGCCTCAAAACGGTAGGTGATGAAGTTGTCAACTATGACTCAGTGAACAGTCGATGGCAGACGTTCGAAACATCTCAGCGAAGACAGAATCCGCGCACCACGAGACACTTACTCGACTTGGTTTTGTTGCGTTAAACCTGAGCTCCCGAAGGATAAGATAGAAAACAGCCAGAGACGGTCAAATCATCTACCAGAACGGTCGAAATGGAAATTGTACTCTCCAATATTTGGACAGCAGCAGGTTGAGTGCTATTACGACAATCACTGTAATCGATCTGAGCAGATGGAGGATACAAGTTTAACCCCAGGCCACATAAGAAACCTCTAAATTCGAGACATTCCATTGGAAAGATGACTGGCTCGTCTCCTGTCCAAATTAGCCCTCAGGAGGACAACCCCATTCAATCACATTACTTGGATGAGAGCCTCCCTGACCACCATCTGCCCTTGCACAATTTGGACGCGGTCTGATGATGCGTATGCCTCCTCAAGCAGCATTGTGAGACACAGTCTACGTTGCTGCACACATCTCTTTGATGCCGTCAGAGCTAAGGTGGCCTTCTTCAAATGGACCACTCGTCGCCATGATATCCCAATGCGCACTCAAGCGAGGACGAACTTCCTAGTGGATATATGCTGACCTACCATCGAAGACGACCGTGGGCACGCCTTTCACAGTCAGGCAGTCGCCTTGCCTTAGTTCTCTGGCTTGAGATCCTCCAATCTTGGTGCCAGGGCACTTGACTTTCGATCAAAAGCAATCCGAAATCATGGGAAATCCACCATGAACTGCCAGATACCCACGATAGCCCGACTGTCAAAGGATCTTACCAATGTTAAGGGCCTGGCCAGCTTGTACTGCCCCCTTTGTCCAGAGCGGGAAAGAATTATCGTCCAGAGTAGCCTCAATCGGTGGATAACAGAAAGCAATGACGGCATCACCCAAGAACGTCATGATCGGTCCATTCAGGGTTGTCTTCAAAGCCTCTGTTCCCATGTCATTTTGAACAAGATGGTTGGCGCATTTGAACGTGAGAGGGTCGATTGGTTCAGCGCAACCAAACCCTTTACCCAGTACAGGCCTTCCTGGATAGTGGCAGTTTGGGCGCCACCCGAGTTTACATCAACCGCGCAACGGGAGAAGTTGAAGTCGTCCAAAAATGTGGTGGGCGTGCTTCCAGAGCTGAACTCTGGAGAGCGTAGGATCTCCAACAATAAGTCAAGATTGTTTGGTGGACCAGACTAATGTTTCCGAGGCCACTTGGATGGCATCCTTCATCGAATCTTCTAGGTGCATAATTTTACCAAGGAGGGGATCTTTAAGAAGGCTGATACATTGCCATTTTCGTCCCCTGGGCAGCGTAGGAGATTCCATAGGTGCCTTACAAAACCTGCTATGTGCGAGGTCGGAGGGTGAAAAATGATGTGAGACCTATGGTCCAGGGCTCATACAGGTCTCCGTCCGATATGCGGTGAGTTTGTAGCTCCTCCATCAATCAACTTGTTTGATTTCTCGTTTCTTACCATCAGGTGATGTCATGAGCCCTCCTGTGGCTTATCCTGCATACTCGATGGACCTATTAACTGTAGTAGCATTGACCACGCATTGTGGCTTGTCCTGCTTCCCCGCCAGACGTAACATGAACGGGTATTCCCTCTCACCCTCTCACCCTCTCACCCTCCTGTCATCTTCACCCCTCATTCTCGCAAGAATTCCAAAATTCATTGGCGCAAGGCTCATATCATTCACTTCTACCAGAATCACGCAGGCTATTCGACATGGCTAGCGATCCTGAGTTCACTGTCTTCCGCAACTTGCCTTCCGAAATCCGAATCAAGATTTGGAAGGATGCCCTTCCAGGCAGAGATTGGGTGTTCGAGCCTCTAATCTTCCCTTTTCAGCGGGGCTGCTGGAAGATCGAGACGAAGGTGACCCCCAGCGAGCGAGAAGATGTGCCTGAACCCTTCATCGAATCCTTCTGGAAGTTCGACGACTCGCTGCTGGACAAGCCCCAGTGCAAGGTCAACATCGGCGCCGTCAATCGCGAGGCTCGTGATGTCGCGATCGCCTGGGTCCGGACACTCGGCGGCAGCCCCAACAACACGCTGAACCCCGTCTTCATCCGGCCATTCGTCGGCAGCAGCGATGGCCTGTATGTGTCCGCGGATCAGTGGGAGGGCTTCGCCAATGAGCCTACCATGATTTCAAAGCACTACACTCGTGAGTTGTGCCACATCACGTCCAACATCACGCGTCTCGTTCTGCCAGAGAGCGTGTTGAGGACTGCGACCCCCAGAGAAGTGAGAAGGGCCTTCTTATTCTTTCGGCAAATAAGGGAGATATTCATTATCCCTGATGGTAGCGATGATGGAGCGGCCTCGGGTGAAGCCGCTCCAAGCATTCGGGGCTGTTGCTTGGAGCCCAGGGTCGGAGGGTACGCCTTCTCATGGAGTCGTGAACTCGGATCATTCTTGTCCCTCTTTCCTGTGATGAGTAGACGGGAGAAGATGGCGCGATACATTGACAGGTTTCTTCATCAACTGGTTCCAGTGCTGGGTCGCATTCCTCGACTTGAGGTTCGAAATGCTGTCGTGGGACCGCACATCAATGAGACTCTGTAGCGTGGAAAGTATTTTTAATGAAGGAAATGAGCGTTTTCCAATAATCAAGACTGTTTTTCTCTTTCTCTTCTTCTTCATCATCGTCATCACGTTGGAGAAATTTTCATAATTTCAGATTTTGGACACAACAGATCAGAGATTAATCTCTAGATAGCTATTGATATTGACTGTATCTCCTCGATTGACCCCAGACTTGATGTTAGATATGAACTGGGAAAAAACACCTCTGCGTGTCGCTTTGCGCGAGATCTAATAGGGCCTTTACCTTAGTAGGGCTGTGACATGTCAAGCCTCATCCTGAAAGAAATAATGAGGAGGTTTCACGATTGTTCTGTATCTCTATCTCACGAGAGGCTAAACATCTGCATAGTTGTAAAGGGAAGCCCACATGGGAGAACAGGATTTCTGTCTGGAATCCCTCTAAGTCCTCTCAATCATTCTAGATTATAATCCAAGCTATTCTCATCATTCATGCGAGATATACCGCGAGATTTCTCCAGAGCCACTCTCAGGGCCTTTTCGGAATTAACTCGAGACGGATCATCAGGTGGACGAGTATTCTTCTGTATATGAACAACATCTTGAAGTATCAATACAGCGTCTTCAAACGACCCATCTTCTATGTAGGCATGGCCAAGTGCCTGTTGTGAACAGAGCCGGTCGCAATCGTCGTCTGGCAGGGTGTCTCTTTCAATCCGAACGATGCCTTCAAGGATCTCAATTGCCTCTTTGGTTCGCCCGTTATTAACATAGGCACGAGCAAGTACATACTCCGATGAAAGCCGGTTGTGGTCCTCAGCTGGCAGGACATCTCTTTGAGCCCGGACAAAGCCTTCAAGGATCACAAGTTCCTCTTTGATTCGTGGGTTATGGATATCAATACGGGAGCGAGCAAGTTCATCCTCCGATAAAAGCCGGGCGCGATCCTCAGCCAGCAGGATGTCTGTTCGAAACCAGACGGCACGTTCAAGGATCTCAATTGCCTCTTTAATTGGCACGTTATCAAAATAGAGACAAGCATATTCATGCCTCGATGGAAGCCAAGCGTGATCATAAAGCGGCCGGAATTCTGTTGAAACCCGTCTGCGGTGTTTTACGAGCTCAATTTTCTCTTTCAATTGCCAGTCATAAAAAGCGCCACGAGGATCATACTCTGGTGAAATCCAGTCGTAATCCACAGCCGGCATCTTCAGTCTTTGAAGCTTGACAACGCATTCGAGGACCTCAAGACCCTCTCGTATCTGCTCATTATCAAGATAACCTCTTGCAATTTCGTGCTCTGATAAAAGCCAGTCCTGATTCTCAGCCGGTACGATCTCTCTTTGAACACGGATAATGCCGTCGAGGGTCTCGATTGCTTCCTTGCGTTGCTTGTTTTGAAGGTAGGCCCTAGCAAGGTCACACTCCGTAGCAAGACGTAGATTATCCACTTCAGGCCTCCCTTCTGTGTCATGCTGATTCAACCAACCTACGGCTGTCTCAAAGCAATCGACGGCCTTTCCGAACATCCGGATGTACAGTAGATATCTGCCAAGTTTTTGAAGCAGGGTCAGAATGCGCTTCCCCTTGCAGCTCTCCGCCTTTAGTACTAAGCTCATTGCATGTGGCAAATATTGTTCCCATGTCTTCCTGTGTTTGGAAGCTTCAGGTGGAAGCACCGAGGCCATGTTTTCTACTGCAATTTCCAAGACTTCCTCAAGCCTTCCTTGACCTTCAATCCAGGAAATGGCTGTTAGATGCACTAGTCTGTGCATGTCGAATACTTTCCCATCTTCTCTTGAGGTCAAAAATCCATAAGCACACAAGGTCCCGATGGCATGTTCTGTGACTTCTTCTGAATCAAATACCGGTAGCATGGGTTTGTGGATTGCTGTGGGCTTGATACAACTGATGAAGGCCAGCAATTTTTCCGCGCTGGGATCAACTTCGCTAATTTGTGAGAACGATACCAACCAGGTGGACATGACAGGTGCTCTACGCTGACCTCGTTCAAGGAATTCTAGGCTCATTAGTGCCATGTTGCCTGATGCTGACTTGTTAAGTAGCTCCACGTATCCTCGTATAGAGAGGTGGCGATTTTGGTTGAGATACGCGGCAGCTTGTATAATGGCAAGGGGGAGATGCCCAAGCAGATTAAGCAGCTCTGTTGCTTCAAGCTCATTATTTCGAACAATGTCTTTCTTCTGCAGAGAGTTGTCGAGAAGTCGCATCGCCTCTGCTGGTGTCATCACTTCTAATTCAATCATGTCGGTGCCAGCCAAGTAATAAGCCACCTCGCGAGACCGTGTATTAAGTAAGAGTAACCCGTCATCATTCTCTGTGAGAAAATTGTAAAAGCCGTCGCTTCTGGAACTTGTAAAGAGTATCTCTTCTTCGTCAATGTTATCAACGATTAATAGCCAAGGGCGAGCCTTACTTGCCGAAAGATGATGTTGCATGGTTCGATTTAGGTCCCCTGTATCGTTGTTCAGCGGAATCGACAGTTGCTCAGCGATTTCTTCGAACACATGCTTAAAGCTGGTGTTGCTTGAAGCTGCGCATACCCAGAAGACGGAGACTTCAGGCCGGGTTTCTCGAACCCAATGGGCCAACTGCAGGGCAACCTCGGTTTTCCCAACCCCGCCAAGCCCCGAGATGGCAATTCTTGAACATTGAGCCTGAACAAAGAACTTGTTTTGAAGTTCCGTCAGGATGTTCTCTCGCCCCGTGAAAGACTTGTTTTTAGGTGGAGGGAGGTAGAGGTCTTCTTGTGGCATTGTTGTCTCAACGTTGCAAGTGCGACCTTGCAATGGTGTTGGTGCAATATCATTCGCAAGCCTAACGGGAGACTCGCCTTTCTCCAGAGACCGTTGACAGAGACCTTGGAGGCTACTTTGGACAGCTTTTAGAATATCTTGGTCGTCTTCGGAATATCCAAACTTGCACACATTATCATGAGTCGCTTTCAACATGACAATGGCTTCGCGATCGCTTGCCCGCCCGATCTGTGCAGACTCTCTTGGAACAACCTAGCACCATTAGACAACGCCAAATATCTCCGAGGAAACGTACTCACTTCATCCATACTCCCCCAGAATGATACACAATCATAGTGTCCGGGTTGATGACGCCACTCTCCCGCGATTGCCTCGGCGAACATGCCCCCGGCTTTCAATGCTGCTGTCACATTGTAACCCGCCAGCTTCGCCAGGCTCCTCCCAAGACGAACCATTGCGTGCCCGTTGCCGTCGTGAGGTGTCGCAAAGAAACACAGGCCGTGTGTAGCATCCTTGATGTCTTGGTACCAGGCGTCGCTCCTCGCGTTAATCAGCGCTTGCTTGATTAACAAGCCCCCCATGCCATGCCCTAAGAATATAATGGGTCGTGATATAGGCACGCCTATCCGCTCGACGTGCACGGCTATGAGAAGGCCCTGTGCCTGGTCGATGAATGCTGCCCACGAGGTCTCGTACGCGGCTGTAGAGTTGTATTCGTAGACGAAGATTCGGGCGGGTGGGATCTGCCCCGGAAGGTCGTCGCGTAGCCAGAGCCGACCAGTTGGCCCTGACGGGGTTCGCCATGTGTCCCAAGCATGTGCCGTGTCGTCTCTATTTTGGGGATCGAGGCCGTGGACGGCGATGATGCTATGTCTTTTAGCTCCTGCGTTGACAAACTTTAGCGGTAGAATGACTGACTCTAACTTGGCGTCGTGCCCAGCTAGGCGCGAAGGCGGGTAGACGAGGTGGAGGGTCTATTTAGATGGTGCGATCAGTGTAAACCCTTGATCTTGGAGACAGAGTGCATATTTACCATGCTGGCAGAATGATACCGTACGACTCGCCGCGAGACGAAGGATCGTTCCTGGCTGGAAGGCGACGGAAAGCTGGAGGTGGGAGGACTGGAAATGGGACAGTCTCAGCCCTGGCGCCTGCCTTTGGTGGCTGAGGGTGTCAGTCAGGCGCTGTCAACCGCTAATGTATGTTGCTACAGCCTACATGTACCTACATACGTGCATGTACGCAGACCGAATTACATGGAGAGGGCATTTCGAATACTTTTCAGTCGTATTATTGGATTAAAACCGAAAGTCTTCCATCTGAGGATATTTATTGATCTAGCACATGCTACGACTCGAGTGCAACACCAGGGGAGGCTGGTAGCGTTTCCACGTAGTCCCCGATGTCCAGATCAATTGACAGCTCGTGTGGGAGGAGATGATGCTGCGCACGTTATGCTTCATCTTGGCCCTGCAGCGCCTCCAATTTGAGCCGAAAGTCCCTTGCCTCCTGGGTATCATTCAGCTGATAGATGCGCGTTATCTTGCTCCCATCCTCGTTAAAGTCAAGAAACCACGCAAGGTTTCTGCTAAACTGTGTCCCGTCGCTCAATGAACCCACATACTCAGAGGTTGCCGCCGATTTCCGATTGGCAACATCGACAGTCATGTTCCCCTGCCTGCACAACGTAATACTCCAGACTTCCATATCCTTGCGTGAGAGATCCTCATACTCGGTGTTGGAGAAGGAAAAGTCTGCCGCGAGGCCCATCGCGGTGAGAAAGCTGGGTGGCCCGATATACCGGCGGCAGTCGCTTGTGAGCGTCGCAGAGAACACTTTTGGGTCGTTCTGCTCGCTCGCGTGGAGGTAGGCCGTCAAGAATTCCCTCGTGGTGGCTCGAATGTTATTTTCTAGATCTCTTGCCGGTGTTGTCTCCATGATTGATATGCGGAAAGGCGTGAGGTTTTGCTTCTTGGGGGATTTCTTACAGCAAATGTGGCAATGAAGAGGAGGAAAAGAAGGCAAAGCCCATGCTTACCGCTTTTTGGAAGAACACCTTGGCCACCCGACATGATTTGCGAAACCATGTGCTGCTTATGGCTGAGGCCCACGTAGTAGCCGATAGATAGCGGAGGATTATATAAGAACAAACAGGGAGGTTCAGCTTATACACATAAGTTATCATAATAAAAGATACAGAGGTCATGTTCGTGGTAATCACTTATTCAACCCTAAGATAGAGAAGTTAGAACATGAAAATAGCACATCGAAGAACATGAATAGGAAACAACGGCAGACCAACACAACCCTGGCGCGTTTCGCAGTGAGGCTTAGTAGCTATAAAGCTCTATCGAGCGGACTATGTCCGATTAGATGATTGGGTGTCAGTCATGATCTAGCTATACTATTCGTGAAATCATAGGAGCGACTCATGGATAGCTGAATGACACTCGGTGAGACCTGGTTTATATATGCTGAACAAATCTATATTGATGTTATGAGTGAATAGAAAATAGGCTTATTAAACATCCCACCTTCATACTTGTTCTAGCCCTCAGCATTCGGTTATTCTAGTATCCGTTAGGAGCCGATCAAAAACCTATCGATCGCAGCCTGGTATAGTCCTTTGAAACGCACGGCCCAGAGTGCAAGACAGTGTGATCCGGAACCATGTTGTCCACTGTGGGAATCTGCATGACAATGGTCTGCGTGTTGCCCGGGTAGACTGATCTATGGCCCTCATCACTAATCTCAGCCGTATCCATCGCAAAGAGGAAGCTGGACTCTGGATCGCCAATGTAAGCCACCTGTGATGGGTCATTGGGGAGGGTCAAGACACCTTGACCAGCTATTCTAATAAGCCATCTCGTTATGGTGTTAGCATCTAGCGTTTTTAAACCAAGCCTTGGAATACTCACTGGTTGTGAGGTGCCACATGAAGACCCCCATCGTAATTAGGAGGGGCAACCGAATAGGTCATATTGGAAATATCGCCAAAAGTAGCTGCATAGCCATTTATCCCTGGCTGATTGGAAGAGGCCAGCGGGGCATCGAGTGACCAACATTCAAACACTGAAGAGCGGTTATATGCGGTGATGGCTGTTATGTTCAGCTGAAGTGAAGGAGCCGTGCTGTTGTTCCTTGCATCCAATGCGGCTGATCCCGCTAAAAGTGCGGCCAGCGTCGTAACAATGAAAAGTTTTGCCGAAAACATGCTCGCAGATATAAAGTAAGAGGAAAAGGTGATGTTGTAGTATGGATTAGACGGAGGACGAGATAAAAGAGCACACCAATCTACCTACAGTTCGTTTCATATTTCCACGGTTTCTTATAGTTATTTGAACGAGCTTCTGGATTTATCTGGGATCCACGTGCTGCACTCAATGACATTTTCCAGGCTTGGCTAACGGTTATGAGGGCTCGGGATGTAAGTGCCGCTATCAGAGCCGGCTAGTCTACACAAGGATAGAGTTTGATAAGTTGTGAGCTATATTTCAACAACAACTGATTTGCCTTACGGGTCCCCAGTAGGCATAGTGGCCCCGTTGGAACTAGATAGCTTCGAGTAAGGTGTTGCACCATCAAACTTTGATTCAACTTTGACCCTTGTTAAATGACACATCTGATAAACATCTAGTTGCCTCAAGTAGTATAAGAGCCGTGATTTTGGTCCTCTAACTTGACCAGCAACTACAAATCCATCTCGCATCATAACATGACCACCAATTGGGCTCGCTGTTGGCACATTCTTGTAACGGAAATGGAGCCACACTGGGACCACCTGAAACACACTTAGAAATACTGCAACTTCCAGTGTTCCTGAACCACCGATTTAGCCGTTTTTCAAATGGTCCGCGGGGTCGATGAATATAATGACTTGATTCTAAGATCGACTTATTATCATACCTGGCTACAGTCCCGGAACTGCTCCCGCCGGACAACTGTCTGGTGTTACTATGGAAGGTAATGCGCGCAGGATAATTAAGCCGCTCAGAGTGGGAACCAGAGAGATACAGTCAACTTCATTGATTGATGAGCCGGATGTTATCTTGCTAAACTTTTACATTCATAAGTGCATCGAACACGGAAAAGAAATCATAACCTGCTAAGTTCAATGCCGATCAGCCAACCTGGTACACTTTGGTGAAGTCTGATTATAGGGGAGAAGAGATGATAAACTGCCAAGCTCGAAATCGATGACCGCAATCGAATGCCATGACCGAGAAGAGCCGGGAACTTAGCTGTTATTGATAGACTTTGGTAATATCGCGTTGTAATGAAGGCACAAAATGAAAGAATCAATGCCGAGACTGGGAAGTTGGCAGTAGCCGCAGTCATCTTTATAGGCCGAAAAGGGCCAGGCAGCTAGCCGTCCTAGGTATACTTCAGTGAAAGAGGCTTGCAGTCGTGTTGCGATAAAGACAGGAGTCAGAAAGTTCCGATTTCGAAGCCGGTGCCAACTAGACTCGAATGTCTAAATTGAGAATGGTCGGGCAATCAACCATTCCAGGTACGCGTTGGTGAAGTCGTATTTCAATCGTGTTGCAGTAAAGACAGGATATCAAAAGCAGGCAAGGTAGAAGCCGATAACAACCATAATGAAACGTCTGGATCGATGAGAACCGAATAACCCGCCTTTCCGGTAGCCATTTAGTGAAGGAGTGCTGTAAGGAATGTAAGAAATGAGAATAAAGTAGGTCGAGTCCGATAACAAGCGCAATTAAACCTATAGCTCAAGAAAAGTCCGGCAGCAGGCCCTGCGGGTATTCCTTGGTGATGTCGAGAAATCAGAAATAGTCAAGGTCAAAGCCGATGACAACCATAATCGATGTTATAAATGGAAAAGGGCCAAGTAACACTTTAGGAAAGTCGCACTGCAACAAATATAATCATTTCGAAACAACCGAGAGAGTAGGCGAGAACAAAGCCGAATATTCAGAGACTCAACAAGCTGCGTTGCTCATCGTCTCGTCTGAGCTATCTTCTGAGCCAGAGCATGACTCGTCAGACTCAAACTCTGTGTCTGGTATGAAGGGAGGCCACTCTCCAGGGTCGGTCTTTGCGGCGTCGGATGTAGGAAGCCATTCTTCCTCATCAATATCCCAGTATTCCGTGTCGGGCAGGGGGGAAGGGGGCGGGGAGTCGCCGAGAGCCGCGTATGATCCTGTCTCGAGGATATCGTCGAAGTCCGAGGAGACACAAAACTCGTCTGAATCTCCCCAGATGGACTTCACCCATTTGTTGAAGGCATCCATGTCTGAGAGATGTGGCTCGGGAATCCAGGAGTTGAACTCTTCGGCTGAGCGCTTGTTCCAATACAGACACATCGGATTTGGGGGTTTTTCCCATGCCACTTGATATAAAGAGTTGGGCCTGTTGCGTGCAAGCGAGTCGTTGAAGTCAATAAAGATGACACGTGGGGGTGTAGGATCATTCTCCAGATCTCCCAAGATGAGAACATTTCGCATCGCGAGATCCAAGCTCTCGGCGCCATGAAATGCCAGCTTAGCCCGGGTTTCAAAAACCTGGGCGAGAATGTCGAGACGGCGTTGAGGAGGTATATGATGGATTCGTCTTTCCTCACAATACGAGAGCATGGTAGGTGCGTCGATCCACTCAATGATAACCATGTGTACTTGGCGCGTCCCATCCTGCGCGATGGGGAGATCAAAAGTCCAGGATCCGTAATACTTTGGCGTCATGACACCGTCAACACCTGCTTTCTGGAGGTCTTCATAGGAAGCAGCCTCGCACGAGTAGTCGCTTGCAGCGATGAAGGTCACGTCCTTGCCAACTTCATCGCGAGCGTAGTACATGGGATCGAATATCTTGGCAACAAGGGGCTTGCCGCGAGACTCTTGGCCCTCCCACTCGCACCGCAGGAGTTGAGCACCTCGTCCATCTCTCACAGCCACTTCATCGAGGAGATGAAGGTTGAAGACGGACTGGTCTGGATGAGGTTCGGTTTCTGGGTATGGGTGTTTCATGCACCAATCAGCCTGCCCGTGGGTGGAGGCTGCTTCGTCACCACGACTCTTAAAGGTGGTTGCATATCCAGGGTTGCCAAATGGCTCAAACGGGATGTGAGCTCTGACTTGGAGAACAAGTCCCTTCTGGTAGGGAACTTCGGGCCGCTCATATTGTTCTTCAGCCTGCTCCTCCAGCCGACGTTGCTCTTCGGCTTCTTGTTGTGCCGCGAACTGCTGGCGCAGGCAATACTCACAATGGTGTTGGTCAGACATGGTGAACTTGCTATGAAGGTGAGCACGAAGACGAGACTGAAGGATTGAGAGTACTCTTCTGCAAGTCTGAATGCAAGAAGAGGGGGAAAGTAGTGATGGACTTACGATTTCTTTGGTTTGGCGGGGGGGGCGGGAATCTGATCTTGGAGTTGGAAGAGGAGGAAGAGCGGAGGAAAATAAAAGGAAACAACAGAGAGGAAAAGGGAGCACGAGGCCCAGCACACGAGAGCCTTAGGAGGTACGTAGATATAGCGCGTGGGCTGGCAAGGCGCCCTATAGAGGTTGTTGATGCCTGAGGGGGCCATTACCAGTCACCACGGCCTCACCCGGGCAGTCACCAGCTTATCAGGGCGGCAGATGTTCACGGATAAGAGGTAAAGCTCAAGCTCTCTAGCGACATCAAACACCTGTCCCGTGGCCGTGCGAAGGAAGCAATGTGGATTTTGCAGAGTGAATGTTAGATCTAGAGGCACAGCATGCATAGTTCACATTATTCGTTTAAGTCGGCTGTTAGCCCTTCAAGCAGACGAAAGAATTATTTCCTCTAATCACGGGCCCCTTGAAGCACCTTGTCTTTCGAATCATAGCATCTTGAGCGGCCGTGAAAATCCTCCAAGCCGTGCCCATATCTTAGTATGATATGTTTTGGGGACAGTGGTTTCAATGCAAGTGTTCATCTTATTTTACTACCGGACAAGTACAACAGTGGGACGAGAAACCAGTGTTTTCATGGCACTTATAGTCAACGGCCGGAATAATAGAGCAAGAAGCACAAAAAACCGGCTACCTAGATTGATACTGGCAGCCGGACTGTTATCAGGGTGGGTGGTTGTCTGTGCTGGTGGAGATCGATTCTGGCCGCAGTCGCCAGCAAGTGCCATAAAGCCACGCTCACAGACATGTTCACTTTGCCCAGTACCTTGGGGGTTTATTGTGGTGCCATTTCTACTACTATTACCCCGACAGCTAGAGAGGTGACCTATTAATTAGGATACCTAATCAATTACCTAAGTAGGCAACCCTTGATGTTCAAATAAAATTGGCATATCTGCTTCTGTTTGCCTGTGGAGCAACGCTGGGTGAACAGGTGAACAGTGCCGGTCGCAGCCTCACGGGCCAGCCAGGTGTATGATCATCTGCTGTACGCATCCGCGGTACACACCTGCGAGAAAATGTCTATGACTGCAGGACGAATTAAATCAATTGCCTAGTGCCTTAGTAATACGTATTACTGGTAGGTAAGGCGAGTGCACAAGGTACCTTGCACGGTAAGTGAGATATGCGAGGTGATGTGATTTTGCCGCGACCGACAATCTCCTCGGGCTACTTGGACATGAGAGCGCAGAATCTGACACTCCTGCAAACATGCACGAACTACTCAATCACAATCATTTTCCATCAGGCGATTTTTCAGATCGGAAGATATAAAAGAAAAGAAAGAAAAAAATGCATTGCGTAAAGGTAAAGACTGGTTACTGGGAAGCATCCAACATGCCCGCCCAGCTAACAAACAAATTCCATCCTGTTCAATCTGCCCGGTTCGAGACGCGCCCTGCCAATTCCACTTGTTCGCCTAGCTAATAATCAATTTACCCAGTTCCAGTCCAGTTACATTGTCAAGTCCGACTATTCCCGCCATCCAATTGGCATTTCCTCGATTACATACCATTCATCCCAACCATTAAACACCCAGACGAGGGTCACACGGACCCTGCCTACCCAGCAACATCACAACAACAGAGATGGCCAGGTACGATCAATACTTGTAGGCGAAGATGGCGATGTAGCCGATCAGACTGTCAGTGCAGATCGGCACGTCCGAATCAAGGAGATAGCCAGTGCCAGGGTTCCATGGCACTTCCTCGCCGCCAATCTTCACATGGCACCCCTTGTCCCCGGCCATGGGGATAAGGACGAAGAAATGCTGCTTCGGGGACATGATGGTGCCAGCCTTCTGACCCGCGATCTGCACAATTGCTCTGAACCTGGCATTCTTCGCCGCCAGGTTGGCGTCGCTCTGAGCAGGTGAGTAAGTGCTGGAGCTAGACAGGGCGGGGGGAGACGTACCAGTCGTCCAAACACCAAGTTCACGATTTCGCAGTGCAGGCTGTGGATCAGGTCCTCCTCCTCTATTGTTCTGCGGGGAAGGCAGTCCTCCGGGGTGCCGGGAGGCGGGTCGCCGACCTTGGCTGCAGTAAATCTATCCGCGACGTCGCGGATGGCGTCGTTCAGACTGAATGATTCGAATTGTGACTCACCCAAGTTGCAGATAGCACTGGCATAGTCCTTGAGATATTCCGCATAGGTGACACCTGAGTGGGCAATGCCACCAGCGGGGTCGACGAAGACCGGCTGCGTTGTCAAGGGCCCCATGCACTCCATGATGGCATTCACGCGCTGTGCCCACGCAAAGAAGGCCTGCTCGTCAATCTCCGTGTCGAACGCCTGCTCGATCTCTTCAAAGCTGCTTCGCTGTTAGTCTACTGTCATATGCAGGCGGGTGCACAATACATACGTGACTTCGGGATACTTGTACTTCAGTAGGAAGAGTGGGTTGAGAGGATGTTCCCTCCTTGTCTCGGGGGTGAGAGGCAGCACGCTCTGTAACAGGCCCAAGGCGCACACGGCGCCCATACAGTCCCTCGGGGGGGTATTCAGAGGTGTCGCTAAGCCAAGTACAATGTGTAAGCATCACCAAGGCCGGGCTACCAGTGTGACTTACAGTTAAGGAGAAGTTGGACCGAGTGGCTAGAGTGACCGTTACGGGCCGCCACGTTTTCAGACCTCCATAGGCCTGTAACAACATGCCGCCACGTTTCATAATTGTCAGTGTCGCAGTCCATGTCGAGGTTAGTAAGAAATTCGGTTAGAGTCTCGTTAGCCTTTTCAGTGTCCCCAGTATGGTGGAGCTCAAGCTGGGACGCGGCGATGCCGGTAAGGGCGAGATAGGCATTCTCTGTCCAGGCCAGCCCTTGAGCTGGCTGTGCAGGATGCCACAGGCAGATGACACTGAGTGCTTGATGGATCAACTCGATGGGTACCTGCGGGGTAACAGCTGCGGCTGCTCCATCGTCGGTGCCAAGTGGTTGCCGGCCACTCCTACGGGGGAGACGAGACTTGACCCTCTCATCTGGAGGGGGAGGGGGAGGGGGGACAGGGCCAAAAGGCTGGGAGGACGCGGGTGCGCTCATGGTGCAGATGAGAACGAAGCTGAAGTTGGGAAAGCGAGGCGGTGTTCTGTGCCACAGGGCAGACGAGGACTAGTAAATAATGAGTGAAGTGGAAGATGGTGGTGCCACATCCAAGCCGAGCTAGAACGGAGGGGAAAGGGCGATAGAAAAAGGATGGAAAGACTGCCATGGGAAGCGGACCTCGCGCACGCACGTCTGGACTGGAGGAGCAGATTGGGACATGGCAGGCTTGCTTTTGCTCGGTGTGTTGTGGCTGCGCGCCTGTCCCATCCCATCATTCGCGGACGGCGGCCAAGCACGAGATGACAGCACATTGCTGCCCGAAACAGTGCAACATTGGGTCGGCTGGCCATGGCGCCCGGTTACGTGCAACATTCGGTCACATAGGATGCGGGGCTTGCACACAGGAGCCGGTGTGCATAAAACAGGGCGGCAGTTATTGAACTTAGTTCTGGCTCTCGCCTCTCGCACACACACCCGCAGCCGGGAGATTGTGGTGAGAGATCTGGGCTAGCTGCATCTGGAGAGCTGTGCAGCGAGCGCAAAGGATCGATGCAAGCCATCCGCGGCTGACGGGCTCGATGAGATGAGATTGCTGCTTTGCTCTGCCTGTGATGAATCCAGAGCGAGCGGTCAGACGGTCCAGACTCCAAAGTCCAAACCACGCCACGCATGCAACGAACATCTGGCTTTTCGCACTGTGTCTGTTTGGATTCCCATGCATTGCAACGGCAGATGCACTCGCTTGGGAGGGGGCTGGCCCGTTGGTGGAGGGCGCGGGGAGCTCTGCTCTGGCTGGGTGTGTGAGCGGAGGGAGGGGGGGGGCGGGCAGACGGCGGAGGAGGTCGGTCGATAACGGCTGCGACGAGACAAGAGCAGAGGCACCTTTGTCATGGCCAAGCGTCATGGAACCCTTAGCTTTCGTTGCACAGCAGCTCTAGTGTGCCCAATCAAGGCTGCCGGGAAGAATATTACTATCTGTTAAATTATCAGGGCCTGAGATCGAGCGATGATCTGACCGAAATTCTCCGTAGACTTGGGGCAGAATACACGAAGGATGAGACTAATGTGTGAGCTCGGGAGGAGGCAAGGTACATACATGGTGTACTTGGTGGTACATGACCCTCGCTGCACCCTGAGGATGGCTTCCGGGGGTGAGCGTAGGATACATCCGTCGACTTTGCTTTGCTTTGCTTGCTATTGATGCATGTCTCGACTCTGCTCCCCATATTGATGCATGTCTTGCTTTACAGCCAGCCACCTCCTCCCCTCCAGCAGCTCAGCCGTAAGCACTTGGGCTCTGCATTCCGCCATCGGGTGCACTCGCAGGCCGCTCGGAGGGCGGCGGACGCTCACGACTGGGTTGTTTCTTTTTCCTCGCTCAAACCGACTACTGCTGCACGGGACAACGCCTTGCATGTGGCTGTCGTTTCGCACTATCGGCTTACTCTGCCAGGAAAACAGTGACGGCATGCGTGCAGCTTTCTGATTGTTGCCTCTGTTGTCTCTCTCCCCGCTGCACCGACTTCCCACTTTGGCATATGGCGTCCATCCTTCTTGCCTCCCTCCAACATCAATGTGTGAGGGGCTCTATCGCCGCTGCTTTGCTTTGCTCCGAAGTCGCCATGGCCCTTATTTTCCTCTTCACTCTTTTCCCCATTGACCAGTTCGCCTTCTTGCCTGGTCTCTCGAAGGCAGACGTCTACTTCAACCAACACTCGCCGTTCCCTCCCACCCAAACTCAGCACCGGTCGCATCTTAACCTTTCCCGCTGCTCGTGCAAGCTCCGAACTCTAGGTAGGGCTTCTCGCTTTCCAAGCTACGCATCGAATATTCATGCGAGCTTCATCTTTCCTTGGCTCTTAAACTCTGCCTTTGATTGCGATTCAGGCTAATCGTTGCGTATTCTCCAAGCTCGGTCACTGTCCGCCACCGCCGCCACCGATCAAGCTTCTCTGATACACCCTCACCAAGCTCAAAGCTATCCTACTTTCCAGCTTCTACTTTCATCTCTCCTCAACACATACCTCTTCTCGCCGTCCTCTGCATCCCTATAGATCCAATTGCGATGTCCGAGTCCGCCGGTGCACCCAATGGCTGGCTCAGCCAGGTATGGTCGGACTCTTCTCTATTTTCACGCAGAGGCCGCAACTAACAACGTCATGCAGGTTCCAGCCCCCTCAGCTCCCTCATATCCATACGCATCGATCCCATATGACGATGAGCAACGACAGATACTTCTCCCCCAGCGTCGGCGCGGACCGCACTCTTCCATAGCCTACCTCTGTGTATATTGCCCTGAAAAGTTCACCAACCAAAACCACCGATTGATACACATCCAGGCACAACATCCAGACGCCCAGTATAAGGAAAAGGATGATTTCCACAGGAGAATATGCTCTTCTTGTGACCCCAACGCCCAACCGTACCAAATCGTCGATACGCAGTTCACCAAGGAGGAATGGAAGAAGATGGTGTGGGTGCTCGAAGATAAAACTCTCGTAAAGATAATAGCCACCGAAATTGGACGCGCTTGCACCACTGTACTAAGGAACAGAAGAACGCTCAGCCAGGGAGCAGTCGTGTTGGAAGACGGGTGTCACTATTGCCAAAGTTCGCGCCTGAAGGTATGTTAGTTGCGAAGATTGAAAGAGTGAACGTAGAGAAACTGAAACGTCGAGCATCATAGTGCAACCAAGTCTTTCCTGTCTGTTCCACCTGTCAGAATCTCAATAAGCCATGTAGCATCTCCGCATTGCCACTTGCGCCAAACGGCTCCCTATTTCGACCTTCGTTCCTGCCACCACCAGTCCCACCCCTCATCAGATGTTCCAATCATGAAGTGGTAGTATCCCTGCTCCAGACCCAACAGAGTTTTACTACTGCGGTTTCGGAAAGTCGTCCGATGGACGACAAATACGTTGGGGACATGACCCAGACCCAGCAGCGCCTCATTACAGAACTGCAGACAGAAAGCTGGGCTCGTCCTTCGACGGGCCATCTTAAGCAAGCACTGCAGCGTCTTGTACATGTCAACACAGTCGGGCAAGATCCTAGCAATTCCCTTCGCAACCTTGAACTCGCCCAGGAAGACTTCAAGACAGCACTCGTCGGCGGCAGCACCCGCCCTCGCCCTCCAGCTCCTACCGGTACGCCGCCTAGGATCCACGAAGGCTCAATGACGACGTCGACAGACGCTCGGACCGATACCTCAATACGGCAACCTTTGGATCCGGTACGTCCCGGTGGAATACTGGTAGCAGATGCCCAGGGTCTAATCACCGTGGTCTACCTCAAACACGGCACCGACACTACAAATTTCCGCATTTCTCGAGACCACTTCTTGTACAAGTGTGCAGCCGACTTTTGGCAAGGGTATCAATACTTCTGCCCCTGGAGATCTAAGTGTGGTCACCCACCGACGGTCGATTTACCAACATACATGTACGGGCCCATTCCTATTCTCATATCAGGTTCCTAATGTCTTTCAGGTCATACCTTGACGACCATTTCTTGGCCTTTCGTTGCCAGCAATGCCAGATGCGATTCAGCCTAAATCTGGAACTCAAATACCACTTGCTATGTCATCATCGTCTCATGTTAGTGGGCTCGGACGTTCTCCACGAATTGATTTGTAGGAAATGCAACCCCGACTCGAACCTCTTAATTCAGGAGAGGGATGCGAAAGACCTCCCCACTGAATGGATACAACTCATCTTCGACAAAATCAGGACGAGGAGGGAGGTTGCGATCGGCTGTGGCCATTCGTGCAATACAATATCCCGCCTTGAGAGCAATATCAAAGACCGGGAGAGAAGAGACAAAGATATGAGGCTGTACAGGGTCTCGAAAAAAAAACCAAACACCTGCATGACCTGCAGGCACCGCAGGATCAAGGTATGGAAGAGGTCCCTGATCGCTGGAAGAACCTTGCTAACCAAGCCATCTAACTTGAAAAGTGTAATGAGGCTCGCCCTCGCTGTAAACAATGTACCAGCGCTAAACGGGAATGCATTCGGGGTCCTCCGCAAGCCAAGGCCGGAGGTATATCGTGACTACATAATGAACGGGTCTGTGGATAACACATAGAGCGGCTTGCTACCAATCCCCCGTATTCATTGTGTTGAGTTGTCGGGCTCTGGCAGCTTCCATTGCTGTTGAACTTTATTCTCTTTCTCTGGCGCTACCAATACCCAGCCTGCATGCAACTCTACTGTGCCAATACTGCATTGTGACTCCTCGCCATGATTTACACCATGTGCAATCCAAGCAGCAGTGACCTCCGTACATCACTGACCAAGCAGTTACAAGCAATCACAAACGTAGTGCCCAAGTAGTCTGTATGGCCTCTTCCCCAAAGAGATACCACATTGTCTTGTCGCCATGTACTGCTACAACTCGAACAGATCTGATGACGGAACGTACCCCAGGTTTGAGCTTCCTAACCAAGCAGAATTATATCAAGTGAGCGGCACCTCTTTCGGGTCCTTCCACACCAACCCATCGAATTGTACCTCCATCAAACGGCCTCCCCTCTGGAAGAAACATCGTGTCAAGTCAGATGCGGATGCTAACCTCATTTCTTCCTCAACATTTGTCCACATCGGCGGCGTCACACATGCTATCTTGGACCATTCGTCAATATTTTGAAACGCCTCTGGCGTCGAAGTCTCCCATCTGCTTTCTGTTCCGTTTCTCCGGACTTGCTGGATCCTTCGCGAACCATCTCTATAGAGAACGAAAGTATCGACCGTATCGGCCGTCTTGTTGCTGTCCGAGGCCACCGAGAATGCCGAGAAGTGGCCGGTATTAGGAAGATGGATGTCCGGGAAGGCTGGGGTGTGTTAGCATAGCCTTCGTGCCCGAGGAACCATATTCACTTGGAGGCTGGCTCAAGACTTACTTGAATTCCACGAAATGTCGGCGGAATTGGCATCTCCATCGTCTTCAGGGATCCTGGTTCTCAGTGGATTCTCGAATGCTATCAATTTACCGGCTTCATCTTGGTAAAGGAGACCTATGCGGCCGTGAGTGGCCAGCTTCGTGTAGTTCCTTGTCGTTGGCACCAGCCCAAGCTGAGATCCACGTATCGGCCGAATCGACAAGTCCCTCGAGTCGAACTTCCCAGTCCAGATGACCATTTGCAGAGACACTTCGCGGGATTGGTAGACGAGGTAGGGCCAGTAGGCGGACAGGTCGCTCTCCGGCAGTGCCGTGAAGCCCTTTTCGTTTATGCCGTCGTCGCCCCAACCTTTGTCTCGGTTATGGTTTTTGCCGTTTATTCGATGCGTCTCGTTGAGATAGAATACTTCCAACTGGTACTGGGGGCATAAGTGCTGTTAGTGTCTGTCATTTGCGTATCATCTCCGAGTCGCGCAGCGTTTTATACTTACAGTCACGTCGGTGGCATATTGACGAAGCTGGCTCATGGCTATGGGTGTACCGTTTGCCACTGGGTATTGAGGCTCAAGGCTCATCGCCTTCTCCCACTTCGAGTCATCAGGGGCACCTGATCCTGTAGATATGGAGTATGCCAGCGATCCATTCCTGGGAGCATTGTAGACGGCGTACCTGACAAACCCCCCGTCAGAAGTCGTCCAGGCAACAGCTGAGAGACTGGAATCGAGGGCAAGAGATGCCGGCTCGTTTGACGCTGTCGAAGTGGTAGTGCTGTTAGTATTGTCCAAAAGATCTAGCTCCTGTGATTGTTTCTTCCTAGACCCGAAATAACCGCCGAGAGTTGCAGCTACGATGACAACTATAGCGGCGGTGCACCAATGATGTAATACTTGCGAGGCCATCTCCTCTTGTCTTTCGTCGTGGGTGGAAGATCCGGCTCTGGGGGCAGTTCTTTCTTGGGGCTGTATAACGTCTCATCTTGTTTCAAGACCTCATAGCTAGAGATTATCTTTTCCTCGCCAGGGACGACCTCAAGCGACGATTCAACGGGGCTAGGGGCTACCTGTAATCCTGAATAATCTGGTTGACTGGGAACATTGCTGTATCGGATTGGGTTTGACATGGCAGCACTTGATCCAACGTCCTACAGTCTAGTATTGGATCGCCTGAAAAGGCTGAACCTAGAAATCTAGGAGAGTATAGGTTGATAGAGTGATTCTTTTGCTAAAGAGGATTCGGGTATTATCCCCTTCTAAATGCATACACCATACCATGTACTGCTACTACCAGGGCTATTTGCGTGCCAATGTGATAAACTCCACTTGCAGCCTTTTTTCTCAGCCTTTAGACCATGACACCAATGATGATAAAGTGGAATCTTGCATCCTTCTTCTCTGAAATGGAGCATCGGGTACTGGAAACAGCCTTGTTGTGGAAAGCAGGCCCGGTTTTACAATAAGCGAGTCTGAAATTGTGATGAATCCCTGCTGATATTGGCGCTTTGGCTCTTGTTTCTCAAGGTACCATTGGATGCTTCTACATTTGAAACGGGTCAATATCTGTGATGTTCATGATATGATTTACCTTTTAGGGTTATCCAATACAAATTATGTCCAGTTTGGTAGCTGTAGCCCCTCACATCATTGCTGCTACCTTTCTTCCCATGGGTCCCTCCCCTCAAGACGACATGGTTTCTCCTCCCCAGCAGGTGTGATATCTACATCCAACCTCATGATGCTCAGCCCAAATGGTACCACCAAGACCCCCACCAGCCGGAGAGCCATCGGTGCGTGGTATTGAGGTTCGAATTGGCTCAGAGGTGGTCCATATTTCACGTCAGGCAGTAAGCGACATGCTTCCTTTCTAGCACCCGATGTGCAGACCAGCCCGCTAACTTAATTTGTCTAATCCCTGCGCCAAGACTCGTATCGCGTATCATGTTACTGGATCTGGCTTAGTGCCGTGATATCTCGCACACCGCGTCTTGGCACAAGCGCAGCCGAATGCTTGTTTGTCAAATCCTCATTCTCTTCCACCACTCTCGCTTATTTTTCCTGTAGAGGAGTCTTCTGGAACCTGGTAAAAAAAAATTCTGTATGTCCGATATTAAGCTCATTAATTAGGCAGTCGCGACGGGAAATGCATTTATGGGGTGGTGCAACCCCACAAAGAGCACAACTCTTTGCCCCACGCATTTACCCTACCCTACACCCGAAACAATAAAGGCACAGTTCCCTCTGAGCGAAAGCCATGGGACGCTCCAAGTAGACCACCAGTTGGAATACTAAAACAACCGTTCTTTCATACTACCTTTCCCGAAATATGAAATTATTTGTTTTGTTTTGGGTTTAGGTGAAGACTCACCTTTGCCAACGAAGAATAGAATGTGCGAGGATTACTATGACATGGAACAGTATGTGGGTAATTCACACATTGTGCTCGGGTGGATCACCCAACCAGCGGTTCGAGATTATCTGAAGGAGGGAGGGTTTCGAGTTCCATTAATTCTCCTCGCTACCCGTATCGAAAACATAGTGAAGGTATATTATTGGGTATATTCCAGTGTTGGATATCAATAGGATGCGTTGTCTATCTCATCAAGTCCTTGGAATGTGAGGTAGTGAATCCGGCATACCTCCAGCTGTGATGGGTGACCTAGCGTGGGGAAGGGTGATAGCGCCAGTGGCCGGAAGCTCCCCGCGCTTCAACTTATTGGACAGGCACCATGGCGCAACAACGCATTGCGTTAGTGAATATCCTCGTATGGTAAAAGAGGGTGCCGAGAATGGCATAGCAATCTTGAGGAAGTGCGTATGGTTCCTGTAATTCGAGGCGACGTGGCTGAATGTCTAGGCCAATGCTGGCTAGGCGATGCAACTCATCCACGTTCAGCTCTCATCGAAGTCTTCCTTACGTACGACTACAGCCATTTAGGGGATGCACTTGGCCACGTGATGCGCGCATGCCCCTCGCTTAGCCGAGGATGCTTATGGCGTCTTCACCCTTCCTCGCGTGCCGTTACATGCGCAACAATTGAATGTCTTGGGCACCGTCGCATCAAACCGCCATGATGCGCTGTTGAGGCTGCTGACTGCTAGTAGTACCGCTAGCAAGGTGCCTGCGCATGGAGTTAGGGGCCTAAGGTACCTAGACAGGTGCTAAGGCTGCAGGTGGTCGGCCCCTACGGCAGGGCTCAGGAGACCACTATCTCTGGCGAACGCCACTAAAGCACCTTCCCCAGATTGAAGGCCAGACCCTAACGCAGGGCCGACAGACACAGGCCAGAACACAGGCCTACATTTTCCATCGAGGTGTTTCTGAATGGTTTCGCTCCATCCCTTAGGGACTCCTTTATTCTCTTAGTTTACCAGCCCTGATCGAAAGGCTGGCTGTATCATACCGCTATGATGCTAAATGTCATGCGCACCGTGCTAAATGCCACCCAGCGCTACACACCGAATCGGGTCTTAGTGCGCGACGCAACAAACAACGATCTAACATAGCCGAACAACATCCAAAATGTACAAAATCGCCCAGAGGGCGGCTAGCAACTCGTACGTTGACCCCTAAAACCCCCAAATCTAGCTTTAACCTGAGACCGTCTAACTGACAGCTAGATTCGAGTTTTATCGGGTTCTTGACTTCCTGACGAGCCGACTCGACGATCAACCGAAGAACTTAATGGCGACAAGTACTTGAGCCGCTACTCGTATTTTACTTTCTCCTGCATAATGGCTATGACTTACCTCTAGCGTGGACAATTAAACACGGCTACACTCCCAAAAGAAACGACATTTGACGGGTAACCAAATAATTCTTTCCGAAAGATTGAGACTACAAAGCTGGTGTCTAGAACGGGCGGAGGCAATGCCGCAGGAACGGAAAGAACAAGAACAGTGAATAACCCCTCCCGCTATCTTGGCCAAAAGATACAGCATAACACATACGGCGTGTACAGTATCTAGACTTATATGCTGGAACCCCCTGTCAGTGTTTTGATGCTTTGAAGTCATCTAAGTCGAACCGTCCGTGAACGAACTTGGAGCCTTTATTTGCCTACCACTCGTGTAATCACAAGGGGCTCAGCAGATTCTCATAGAAACACGAACCGGAAGTTCTAATATGTGGCTTTCATAGCGCACGCTAATCTAGCGGCCGTTGAGAATTTTATTACGCGGCGTTAATGGTAACATAAACTAGACTTCAGGACTAGTTCCATGCCGCAGCACTGGTGCCTCCCGGGCGTGACAAACGCAAATATCCCGATGTATTCTTAGATCTCTTCACTCCTTCCTAGTATTTCTAGAAGGTCCAATAGTCTCTCCTCATCAGCGTGGATTTGGTATGTTCTTTGAATGTCAGCGGCTTCGAAGGCGGACTTGGCATGTCGCCCAGCGCGAGAGGTCCTATAGTTGCGCCCATAGGCCCCCCAGTTGAATTGAAATCGCGTCCGGGCGTCTTCTCTTATCTTCCGGTCATCGGAAATCCTCTGTCGGAGCTGTTTGACGATTTCGTCGGGGACGGGTTGCCACATCGTGTTAGTCGAGATAGAGAGAAGAGTGCTTCCTCCTATGTTAACTGGATTATCGCATAATGGCATGACTACATACAGGTTCAAGCTTTTGCGAAGAAATTGATTTAATACAACTCCTGGATTAAATTGTAATTTAGGCAACCGAGAGGATGGATAAAGTATCGATGCTTTGGTGGCCGTGTCTTTATATGCGCCGGTGCTTCAATGTTACAGTAGCAGTCACATGCCGGGCCTCGCGCTATCATAAGAGCACAACTCGCCTAGTTATTATTTGAGTGTCACGAACATAGTGTTCCGTAAGAGGTCTGCATCATCCGCCGCTCTATTCTACTGAAAACAAATGTTAGTATAAACCTGCTGCACAAGTGCTTGTCTTATTGCGCACTAATCACCATCTTGTGCCGCAATATTGAATCACCAATATACCTACCTGTCGTACAGCACCTTGAACCAATAGTTGAATGAGTATTGGGCATAAATGCGCGTCCAATAGGCGGATCACTTCCACGTGATCTCTAGGACCTGCTGTGGTTCCATCCATGATAGAACCCCGGACCAAGCAGCATACCGGACAGGAACATGTCCTTTTCTCCTCCCACTACTGTCCTGCTCCCAACATCGCCTTGCCATAGTACCATGAAGAGAAAATGACATCGTCTCTTTCACACGACAGGGTACCAAAAGGGACGGCAATCACGCGGGTAAGAAATGGATGGTTGGGAAGATGGCCGGTAGGCTTATCGATAAGCAGACCACCGGTCAGCCACTCACGGGGCAGCGTTTCAGCTCCCCCAACTGCTGATGGGTGCCCAAAGCTACGTTCCCCCCTCATCCTTCATTCACACTTCAATTGACTTTCAGTCCGCATAATGTTACAAAATGTCACAGAATAATATGACTGAAGATGAGGCGCTCTCAGCGCTTATGTCTTATGTCTTCTCCGGAGGTCTTGGCGCCCCGACAGGCAAAGATGCCGGCTACTCGCTGATTGAGGCCACGCCCACGAGCTTCTCCTGGTCCGTGGCCTTGGACGGCGGTGATGAAGCATCTGCACACGCCGATCGGTATCGTATCAATATTGATCGACAGTCGGGGCAGATAACATCCCCAGGCCCCATCGCGATTTCAGAAACGGAGCAAGCTCAGGTGATCGCCTTGGCCACCGGTCAAACACTTACCTCGTCAACCCGATTCCTTGACGGTGCACGCAGCATTTCGTATCAGGTCACGGTTGAAGAAAATCCAGATACTGCATATCTGATCCACCTGCGCCATGGAAACGTGGCCTCCATGGAATCGTTGATCACAAGGCTTTCGAGAACCCCGAAGGCAGTCACCGAGCACGTACTACCCATACCTGCCTTCTTTCCTATACCGGGAGAAAGAGAGCGTCAAGAAATAACGGGTCTAGGACGACAAATATCGTTGTTTGTGCCAGGTGTTTTGGCCTCTAGAATATACCCCAGTCTGCCTCACGAAGACAAGCTTGTTTTTATACAAAAAGTGGCACTGGCATTCGCGGCTAGCTGGAGTATCTCGCTCTCTGAGCCAATCTTGATCGGTGGGCTCCACGCTACAACTGTTGGCGATACCATCATTCTCGATGTCCAAGCTGAACGCGACCACGGCCTTGGGGGTCCGTTCCCCTCAGTACGGGAATATCTCGAGTCGCATGTCAAAGCTTCGTTCCGTGCCCTTGAGAAGCAGCAAGGCATCGAAGAATTCAAGCAGAAGTATCTCAAGAGAATTGGCAACTTTGTGCGAACCCGTTTGCACAAGATTTCACCTATTGTTGAGAATGTCCCTATCGTCGTCTTGCATTCCAACATGGGACCCCACAACATCATCGTGTCCAGCGATGAGCCCACTACTTTCAGGGCCATCATTGGCTGGACCTTCGTTGCCAGCGAACCATTTCTCGCGGTTCATCGGTCCGTCGAGGCGTATTTCCGCGAACCAGCCCTGAATGGTTTTGGTCCCGAGTACGACAGAGCCGACGAGCTTCGCGACGCTTTCTGGGGAACGATACCTTACTGGAGGCGCTGGGGTGAAACGGATGCCGCTGAAGTGTTCCGGGAATGGTTTCGATTTGGCTTATTCATGAAGCCGGAGGGGCGACCGGCTGGTCTTCCTGCAGCTGCATCCCGAGCATTCTGGAGCGAGAATGTCCGGGTTGTCGAGGATTTTCTCAACAGGTACGAGTAATGTGACTAATAAGTAGCGTGAATGGTCAAGGGTGGCCACATTGATGTAGTTCAGAGGCGGATGATATGGCTGTCTTGGATAATGTGGTCGTGAGATCTTGGACTATGTGGATTAATGGAAACAATGACGAATTTCTTATGACTGTGCTTTTTTTGTCCCGAGTACTCTGTGCTTGGTTCATCAGAGCTTATTTCTCTTTTCAAGTGTACTGCCTCATGTTTGAATGCCATCTCCTGACACAATTTATGTTGACGTGAACTTTGTAGTGGCATCAGAAATCGTGCCTTGGAGTGAGTAGGACTATTGAGAGGCGCCTTAGCAACTGGGGTTTGACAATGCCATTAGAACACTGACGATTCGGCGACGGAATGCCTCCATGCACGCCATGATAGTGGGCCAAAGACCTCATTGCATGTACGGAGGCGATGTTGTTCTCATATCCGATTGGTTTCTCGGGGCGAACCTTGGCTCTCAACCACCGACACACTCCTAGCCTACCTAGATGTCTACCAATGGTATTATACACGGCTAGGCCAATACCTAAAGTAGAAAAGTCCAACAGAGGACCTACGATAATGTACTGGCCATGCCTCTCATCGGCGTCGCTAGTAAGTGTGGCGATCTCTCCTAATCCAATCAAGAAACCACACCGGTTCTCAGTTTCCTGCCACAGTGTATCGACGCAAACATCCTACGATCAGAAATTAAAGCGACCTCGATAGCAGGCAATTTAGGTGGATTACATCGATGTAGCGATAAACAGAATGTGTGAGAAGGTGTTATTCAGGGGGGATTCACTTCGATTATGTCGTTGTCAATCAGAACGGAGATGTTGTAATGATTGGTGACTAAAGGCCAGAACGTATTCTATAGCATTTTGTAGGGACTAACAAAGGATATTTGGTGGGATGAATGAAGTTGAAGGAGAATTTGCTAGACTCGTTAAGCCACAAAGAAACATGTTTGTACATTCTAACGGCAAATAGGTGTTCAATACAAGACGGAGAAGACATACTCAGGCAAGATTGCGTAAATATTCAAGTATCAGATCGTGATTCAGTAAATTAGAGCCTTAGTAATCTCTTGTCAACTGCCATAACTGGGCCCCGACCTCTTTTTAACCTAACTACCAGATATGTAACTTATCTATAGTCCTCATTCGCCAGAGTTACCTTAACTCAAGATGTACCTGTGCAGTCACTAGCTTAATTCGTTTCCTTTATTTAACCAATTGATGACTCTTCCCGATAACTCTCAGCCCAAACACCTACCATCTCACTGAGTCACCTGGCTCATCAGTGGTGGCGGACGACTCGACGTTGGACAGAGTGCTGCTCTGAGCCAGAAGCAACACCTGAGTCAAAAGCCCTCCCAACGATTTCTAGCAGCATTCTCGGCCGCGCCAGGTAAGCCCACTTACCGCAAGCTTAATGTCCTCTGCCTCCAACATGGCTCGAACAGAAGCAAATTGTTTCTGGGTGTAAGGGGCTCTGATTCCCTGCAAACAGACGGGCAGATACTGGCCGAGCACGAGCTGGGATGCGATGCCACACGGAATGCCCACAGACTTTGCCAGGGCCGTATACCCAGTAGACTGGCCTTCAAACTGCAAAGCGAAAGTCACGGTGTCCTAGGTATCAACCTGATGAGTACGGAACCTCAGAACTGTAGATTGTTCTGTCTTACCTTCGATCCGTCAACCCATTGTACAACAAACTCATGCTGGAGGACGAACGTTCCTGGCACAGGGTTGCAACGTTTATCGATCTGAGCCGACAACGTGTCAAGTAAATTTCCCTTCACCATAGCAACCTCGTGAGAGAACAACCCCATCCAGCGCAAGCCGTAAATGACTGTTTCCATCTCCTTGGGGCCTGACAGCGGCGAACAGAGCTTCTTGACCCTGTTGATGAGATCCTCCTTAGCGGAAGAAGTCGCCCCTGTTACGGCCTGCTGAATCTCGGCCCACGTCATCCCGTCCTTTAGCCAGTCTTTCGACTCAGTGTCAAGCCAACCAAGTTTGCCCAGGGCCTTGACCACAGCAGGATTCTCCGAGAACCAGCGGGGTCCTAGGCTGACGGTGTGGGCCCCGCGGATGGCATAGGCTTCGCGGAAGAACTCCGAGTGTTGCTTGGGATATGATAGGAACGCGTACCCATCCGTCCCACTGTCTTGCTGGATTGGATCCTTGAAGTAGTCGCTGCAGATGTAAAGCTCCTCCTCATCGGGTTCGGAGCCAGTGAGAATCCCGCGAGACAGAATCGAGGCTGGTGATGGCCATGGAAACTTGTTCCACTATTAGCTTGGATTTTATCCTAAAGATGGGATGATCAGACCTACCTTGGAAGAGACAGGGCTGCATGGGTTTTGCTGAACCTTCTGGATTCTACAGTGGGAGTAAAACTCATTCACCTAACATTGTGATCAGTACAGCTGGTAGCAAAGGGAGAATCAACTGCAAGTTGGCATACCTTCCCTCCCATAGCATGGATTCTTGCAACATGCCTGGAAGCGTAAAGCTGATCTATCCCGGAATCCACACCGATCTCGTACAAGACAGCAATCCCAGCCTTCTTCACTTCCGCCTCGAGGCTCTTTACAGCAGGGGAGATGTGCCCGCTTATGACGACGTTGGTCTTTCCCTTTATGGCGGAGCGAACAATGTCTACATGGTACATGAACGGAACCAGTGAGATGACAAGGTTGTGGGCTGCGATCTGGCAGTCGAGGTCGGGGTCTGCCACGTCCAAGGGTATGGCCGTCACTCGGGGCCGTCCGCGTACGAGCCGGACTGCGATTGAAATGGAAGGGCAAGCTAAGCACAAAGAAGTGAGAACATTATTATCAAGATGAAAGTTGGGCGGAAAAATAACAAACATGGCTAACTCACCCACGGTAACTCGGTTGCCTTCGTAGCGAAGTAGGTAGTCGATGCAGGGTCCCGCAACCATGCCTCTACAGAGAACCAGGACCCTCTTCTCTTCCATCTTATCGAATGGCGAGGGGACGTGCAAGCGTGCAGGGCCTGGAATTTCCGTGGTGGGCTTCGGAAACTTGCAGGGAAAGTTAAGTGTCGGAAGACCAAAAGGAGGTTGTCCCTGAGTTGTTGAGGGTAAGTAACTTGAGGTTGGGACGTGACTGGTGCAAAAGTCGGTTACGGCTGGCAAACAACTTGGAAGGAACTCGCGCCCGCTCTTTCCCTCTGGGACAGTGGCTCACTTGTCTAGGTACTTACAACATGTATCCCTCTACCCCAGCCGCACAGGTTGCCACGTCCATTTTATAAAGGTACTCTCGCATGTGGGAGTTTGTGTACAGCGTAGTGTCTGCAAGGAGAAGCGTCAGTTCGGTCTTGATATTCTCAAACTAGTGACGAAAAGCTTGGTTTCACGACAAGTTCCGAAACTTCAGCATATACATTAATCATTGAAGATTAGAAGCATTCAGTTATTTGCAATAATGAAAACACGTAGGACATTGTCGTAAATTGTGGGAGGTGGCACCAGCAGAGCTCGGGGTTCTCTCCTGATAGATCTCTAGGTAAAATACCAACCGCGAGGGAACGGACCATTAACCACATCTTGTATTGGCCCAAGACAGGTTCGAGGCAGGAGCCAAAATCCAAAGTCCATCTGCGATAAGATTTCTGACTGCGGAATCGCGTGTGGGCATTCGGCAACTTGGATTATTTTTATTCTATTTCTTTGTCTGCGGGCATGTCAAGATACTCTTGGTCACGAGCTGCAGGTCTATCAATGGGGATAGATGGCTCGCGTGATGCTGCTATAGAAGCTCTATACCGCAGGAGATAGCACCAAAGGGCACAATGCCTGGCTGGAAGAATGGGAGAGGATATGTGACTTGACTTTCACAAGAATGACCACTCTCCCGTCCACAGAGAGCCGATAACAACAAACATGGAGAGCAGTTGCGTTGCGCGACTCCCAATTAATGGGCCGTGCATAAAACAACTACAGCCACAGCACAAGGACTGCATGTTCTCAAACTTGCCACCATTGCGGCATCAATCGAGAAGGGCCCTTCTGGAGTGTACGTCAACCCCGAACTTGACATACTGAACGTCAGGAAGGGCGTGGAATGCTTTACAGGCTTTGCCCGATCCCCAGTGGGTAAAGATTCCAAAAAAGATGTCCCTATCCAGTTAACGATGAGCGATTGTGCTTGAATGTTTCCAGGGAGAGGTGAAGCTCATGACATGTCTCGCCAGACATTACCAAGATCAAAGAGCGTCAGTTTTATCCCCCTTCAATTACAGCGCTCTCCTCAACCACGCAAAATGAACAACGACTTGCTACTCCATAAGAGATTCCCCACCCATCCTATGCGTCTTGCTAAGCCTAACCACCTTAAATCTGATCCCAGACGAATTATATGTCGGAAACGTGAATCAACAAGCTTGACTCTATCACTAGGTTCCAAAATATAAGGCGTTTCATGTTCCCAAGTGTATTATCGAGCCTATTAACCGTCTATCTGCTCTATATACCCGTACAAGCGCGCCGCAGCAGGCTGGATAACGACACGACGGAACATGCCATCAGGTCTACAGAAATCCTCAAAGAGGTTTGGTGAACACAAAAACATCCGCCGCTGTCAGACTTGCGATGATTTCCAGGAACGACAAGAATATCTTATTTCCCAAGATCTCGAAGGCCCGCAACATCCCAAAGAAACGGAGCGCCCTTGGCAAAAAGAGGAACCCCTTGACTTATCTAGCCAAGGGGAACCCTATGGATAGAACTATGTGACAACAAGCCGCTCTCCCTTGCTCTACATCTTCTAGCTTAGAATGTGAATATTAATTCTCGTGCTGCCTGCAACAATTGCAAGCCGACATTGAGCAAGGCAAGGTAGGTCTAACTCGACCTTCTCTGTACGGAAAAAGCATGCCGATTGATAACCAGGGTGATCCCGCGAAAGAAAAAGCGTATATTATTCCACGCTTGTGACCTCACCGTGTCCTAGCCTCCACACAGGTGCCGTGAAACCCGGGGCAGTGCATGATTAGTACGGTCCTAGGAGAGGCTAGTCTCGACGTCCGTTGAACCCACCGCGCGAACGGTTCGGTTTTTTTCTTGTATTAAACATTTGCCTGGCTGGTTGGTAAAAGGCAACTAAGTGGAGTCACCAAAGACGGCGGTGGCGAGGTTGATCGGGATGTTCCAAACTCAGTTCTTGCCGGACACCAGATTGATAACTCAGATTTCTCAACTGTAAAACACGAGATCCTTTGGTCAAATTCGGGAGCTGGGACTTGAATAGTTGGCTAGACAAATCGGACGTCCGACTAGAACCGAATATCCACAACTGCTATGAGTGGACTGTGGTGGGGGCGAACCATGCCACGCCGCGTCCCTGTGGTCACCATCTGGATCGACTAGTCTCAAGACTAGGGTTGCTGTGGAGGCAGGAAGATACACACAATACTAGATCGGAGATTGCCCCAGCAGCGGGCTGGACCCTTGGGTTCTGATACGGAGGGGCAAAGTTTCTAGCATGCCAGACCAACATCCCTTGGCCCAGAGTCTAGATACATCATACTGGTGCGGAGGGTTGCGTCCTTTAGCTTTAAACTTGCTATTAACTTTCAATTATATACTTGACACCCTCTCTGTCTTATCTACCACTAAACTATCATGATGAAGTCGGAACACCAGCCTTCTTCATATCCCACAGCCCGTAGACGAAAATACTAGCAACACCCAAAAACGCCGACAAAATGGTGAAGAACATGGCCGCAATGCCCTTCGGCGTAAACCCATCGGGGATAGAGGCCTCCTGTCGCGGCTCGCCGTCCAGATCCAGAAAGTTCTGCGTATTCCCCGCAGCGTTGCCCTCGAACGGGACGCCGGCCGCCCGGCAGACGTCGTAATGCTGGTCGGGGATCTTGAGCGTCTCCTGGATCTTGTCCGGGGCCGAGATGAACAGCATGGCCAGGCCCGAGTCCATGTGCCAGTCAATGTGGCAGTGGAAGAGCCAGACGCCGGGGTTATCGGCGACGAAGCGCAGGACCATGTACCCACCAGGTGGGAGGACGACGGTGTCTCGCCTGGGAGGGGTGCTGAGGAACGCGGTGTGGTTGTTGGCGTCAAAGGGGACCGGGTCAACATCCGCGAGGTTGTAGAAATCAGGACCGTAGGAGGGCTCGCGCCCGATCACCTGGAACACGTGACCGTGGAGGTGGAAGGGGTGCGCGCCGCTGTCAGCGTTGTTGATGATGACCTGGACAACGTCGTTTTGCTTGAACACATGCGGGTTTGTGTTGTCGCCGTAGATCGTTGGGTCGGTGGACAGGTTTCCAGAGGACATGACAGTGTACAGAGTTGGGACCTTGGGCGCTGTGTATGTGATGTTGTCGAAAAATGCGTAGTTGTAGCCGTCCATCAGGTTGTTCATGTAGACTGTGACCTCGATCTCGACGTCTGGGTCGGGAAGCAGGGCCATCTGGTCATGGGGCACAAGGGTCAGGTCATCGAAAGGGACCAAGTCTGTGCTTTCGTCGACGTCAACCACACCCTCGGGGTGGTCCGCGTTTGAGTTGTATTCCAGCCAATTCGTATTATTTAGCTGTAGGTCGGAAGGAATAGTATCGAGAAGAGTGGAATCCGCAACAGTGATGATTGGATAGTTCTTATCCGTTTCATTCTTCGTTGTGAGAAGAATCGCGTATCGTTGCGCAGCTGAAAGATACAACATGCTGGCCTCTGTGGGTTCGGTGTAAACTCCATCAATCTCAACAATAGTGAAGTTGTGGTCTTGGATGTACAGATATTGACCGACAAACGCGCCAACGTTGAGAATTCTGATAAGATACGTCGTATTGGGCTCAACTTTAATATTTGAGTTCATGGTATCGTTGAACAGGAATGCGTTGGGAATAGGCTCTGCCCCGGTAGGATTATACAACGACATGAACTCATGAGATAGGTCTTCCAGAAAGTCGTGGTACCAGTCGGACAGGCTAATGGTGAACTCCTTATCATACTGTTTCGCAAAGTATGCATCATCATCATGAACAATCAGAGCCTGCCGATAACCATCCGGGTAACAGTAGCCAGTGTGGCAATGGTACCAGTATGTGCCGTTTTGCTCAACGGTGAAATTGTAGGTCATGCTTGAACCGGGCGGGATGGGGCACTGGGTGACCATCGACGGACCATCCATTTCATTGGTCCCGTTCTGATACATGCCGTGAAAGTGAATGGAAGATGATTTGTCTCCGAGCCCGTTGTACATGTTAATCACGAGCCGATCGCCCTTGTTCACCTCAATGACGGGCAAAGGCCACTGGCCATTGATGCCCACGACCTTGCGCTCATACAATCCATCAGGATTTGCGTTCACCCATGAGACATTGAAGTCGTATGTGACAGTCTTTGCTCTGCAAAAGGGGGCGATTAAGGCAAGGACACTTAGCCGTTGTGCCCAAGCCATGTTGACCATCTTTCTAAGTCTCACTCCCGAGACCAGCACAATGGGTGAGTTATGGGATAAGACAGGCAAGAAGATGTGATATGAGGAAGGGGAAGCAAGAGAAGAAGTAAAGAGGAGGGGCATGTATTTTTCCAGCATCCAAAACACAAGGCGTGTGACTGACTCAAGCTTATCTGATTTCAGAGTTGTGTCTAAAATCCAGCATTGGCCAATGGCCATCCTTCATAACTACGAGATTCCTCACTGAGGGAGGGGGGGTAACTTATCAGATGTTCTGGTGCCGAATCCCGAGAAAGCATACTAGTGACCCCCTGCCTGAGGCCTTTTCACAGCTGTGGTCAACGGCCTCCGAGAGTTATGGTGGGATTCCCGAGCTTGAGATGCCGAATATGCGGCTGGGAGCCATCGCCATTGGCTCCACTGGGTCTGGTGCCGCCAACCTCCGCTCGAATTATCGGGCTAGCTGATGCTAAGCATTGCTAGCAGATCGGTTTGGGATGGAGCTAATTTGATAAATTTTTTTATCTGATCA